GGAATTGTGGGGCAGGGTTTTGCATAAACATCCAAGGGTTGGGGAAGTAAGGCATAGGCTGAGGAGGAGGGTAGTTCGGGAAGCCTTGTGGTAGGTAGTAACCTTGAGGTGGAAATTGGTAGTAATTTGGTGGAGGGACTTGCTGGAACTGAGGTTGCTGAGGTGCAGGGGCTGGTGCTTTAGGTTCCTCTGGTTTGGGAATGGGCTCGGTTGGTGGTACGTCGGACATCTGTTTGTGGCTTAACCGTCGGAAGGAAAAACCTTTCCTGTCGGAAGGAAAAACCTTTCCTGTCGGAAGGAAAAACCTTTCCTGTCGGAAGGAAAAACCTTTCCTGTCGGAAGGAAAAACTTTTTCTGAAGTTCGACCAAAAGTTCTCAATTTTCGAAAATTTGAATGGTTTACGGACGGACAACTGGAAGAGTTCTTCCTGTCGTCGGGAAATTTTTTTCCAGTTGTCGGGAAAATATTTTCCTGTCGGATGGAAGGACTCGGAATACCAGAAGGATTTGACGAGGCAATTTACCTTATAGAGATAAATGAAGTTGTTAAGCAGTACTTGCGCAGGGTAATGAAGCCCAAGGTCAAGTTCACCACTATTTCTGGAAGGTCTACACTTCAGCTCGAGACTTCGACTGGAATTCCAATTCAAATACCAGACGGGACAGCCTACGATGGCATAAAGGACGCCAAAAGAGAAGCTCTTGTTAAGTTCCTAAACAAACGTCCTTGGATAAAAATACCAAACAAGGAGAACCCCCTACCCCATATGAAATTGGCAATTCAGTCTCTCCTTCACTTCTCGGGTCAGCCGTTCTACATAACCTGTGAAGGCGACATCCAACCAGTTCAGTCAACCTTAACGTTTTGAGTAAAAACATTTTTTTTCATTTTTTGAATGAAGCAAGTTAAATTCGTCCCACACCAATCTCAATGGACCGATGAAGAGTTTCAAGCCATGGTTGAAGGCGTTGAGAACGACATAGACGGCGAACTTGAAGGAGCTCAAACCACAATTGCAACCAAAATTGCAGGAGTCAAGGAACAGATAGCTCCACTTAAAGCTACCAAAGCTACTCTTGACCTCATGGATAGTTACCGTTTAGATGTCAAGAGTGGAATAAGACATTTAAAATTAAAACTTCTAAACTACGAAGCTATACTCCAAAAGTTAGCAGAAATGAGAAGACTTTACCAGAGCTACTTACATGTAAGGGACTTACCTTCAAGCAGTCCGACCAAAGATGAATTTTCTGACATTGTCCCAATTTTGTCCGAAAGTCAGCTCAGATGTTTTGAACTGCTCCCAACATATCCAGAATATGAACGTTTGCCTGAACTCTTTCGCAATCTCAAAAAACGTTTTTTGGTTCTCATGTTCGAAACTTTTATCGGAAGAGACAACAAACGTTCAGAAGAAGAACAAGATATTATTTTAAACTTGTTGTATGACTTAACCGTCATAACAAGCTTTTTGAAGTAAAACCGTCATTCTCAAACCACTTCATTTTTTCGATGTCCGAACAAGCACCGAAGCCGAACACAATAGCAGATGTCCTTTCAATGTTGCCAGACAAGCGCCCAGTTCAAATTCAAATTTTGAATTTGAAAGCTCATCTGACAAACACCGTTAAGACTCTCCAAAGTAGTCTTATGTCAGAGATGACCAAGCTCAAAGCCGATGTCCTCATGAACCAAGCTTCCAATGAGAAATGCCTGAATGATTTGACGGAAACCTTGCGCATTTACGCGAGAGAGAACCGAGACCTTGCCAGACTCATCTACCGTTTCTTCGAAGAGATAGACGCCATCTGGAAGGTACTCGGAAAGGACAGAACATGCAACACCGTACTTCGTGAACACAGAATTGCCGAAGGTATTATCAAAGAAGAGGAAGAAGAGGAAGAAGAGGAAGAAGAGAAACACGAAGAAGAGGAAGTTTGGGCAACCCTTGTTGCCGATGACGGTTACGAAATTTCCCAACCCTACCCATATCAAATCCGCAACAAGGAGACAGGCAAGGTTCTTACCCCAGTCCTCAACAACTTGGGACACTTGACCCTTACCCTTCGAAATTACGGTACAATTTCCATGGGAAGGCTTGTCGGTATGCAATGGGTTCCAAATCCAAACAAGAAGACGAAGGTCAGACACATTGACGGTGACAAGCTCAACAACCGTAAGGAGAACCTCGAGTGGTTCTAAGAGTAAAAAAATTTTATTTTAGGGGGAAACCCCAAGTAAATTTAGTTTTTTTAGTTGCGTAAGCGGCTTAAATTAATGAGAATTTGGACAAGTAGTTCCTGACCCCTGAATTGGACTCTTTCGTCATCCCAGTTGCGTAGGAGGTCGTCCCAGAGGAGTTGGTAGAATTGCCAATCCAAGGACGATTTGTCCTCCCAGGCATTGAGGATGTACTGCTCGTAGAGTTTCATGACCTCTGCCTTGCACCAGACACCCTCTCCCTTGGAACGTAAGGCTTCTTCGAAGTGCTCGAATGCGATTGGCTGCGTGACCATCTGAAATGACACTTTTTGTCCGTTTGGTCAATGTTTGTGTCTCGTGCCATAGTCGATGAAAATACAGACAAACAGGTTATATATGAGTTTGAGACCAAGAATGGTGTAACTCGACCTGTCCGATTCAAAGACTCCGAGGGCGACCATGAAATTAAACGGAAATTAGCTAGGAAGGAATATAAAATGGACTGGTTGCCACCACCTCCACCTCCACCACCTTTACCTGTTCCTCAAGTAAATAAGCCTTTCCCGTTCCCAAGAATTCCCACATTTTAATTCAAATTCGAATAAAAATTTTTTATTTCATGCAATGTTTTATTTCTGTGCCGTCTTCAAGTATGCCCCAATATTTCCTTTTCGATATTACATGAACTTCGGTGAAAATTTTGTCCAATTTGAATTGACCCATCTTCTCACCGACCATACCCATTTCAATGAGTTTGTTATAGCCTTCTTCGTTCGTCATGAGTGCGTCGATGTTCTCATAGTAAACCTTGACTTTGGATTTGACTTCGGAGAAGAATTTGTTGTACTCGTCAAGGACTGCTTTTGCGAACTGAGGGTAAGACCAATGTTCGACAATAGGTTTTAATGTGGTTACTAAGCCACTTTGACCTTGAGTGAATTCGTACTTCAAAACAAAAGGAGAAAACCTTTCAACAAAGTTGTCGACCTTCTCATAATGTTTACTCTTCATCTCTTGAGGTTTTTGAATGGAATACCCCCATGTCGAATTCATAAGCAATTTTAATGTCATTGCAAGTTTGGGGTTTGAAGCTTTCCTAATATCATACAGTTGTTGTATGACTTTTCCAACTGTATAGTTCCTTCCTGGGAACTCACCATCTTCGTTTGGAATTCCAGTCGGGATATATTGGACGAACCTCATGTATGCGGCGTTAAGGTCGACATAGTATATTTTTTCATATGAGTCGAACTTGTCGCATCCAATCGGTCCAGTTCGTGGAAATTCAAGTGAGTCTCGTATCTTCTGAGAAACTCCTCCTGTTATCTCATAAACATCGTCAAAGCAACCTGTTTCATATAAAACCTTCTGACCTAACTCTGATGCTCTCCAATACAATTTGACGTCGATTGGATGTCTCAATGGAAGTTTGTTTATAGCATCTTGAAGTTCTTGCAACCTCATTGGAAGTTCTTCTGGTTCAGGTTGGTATCCGAACAATCCAACTCCTTTTGGAACTGTGTACTTCTTTTGTGCTATAACTTTGTCTGGAACAACTTTTGGTCTTGCTAACAATGAAAAGTTTGTTTCGTCTTTTGGTACAAAAGTTTCTGTCAGCTTGTCATCTGGAATCGGTTCCAACAAACCTTTCTCGAAAAGAATGTTAACAGCTCTGACAATGTTGCACTTGCCTTTTCCGAACAATGGGTTTGTAAGACTTTCGTTCAACATGAAGTGGTTGTGGACGATTACAATCTTCAACCATGGTAAGTCTTTGTCAACAACATAGTCGTCATGTGAAGAACCTTTAGCTGTAGGTATGTTGACTCGGATATTGACATTTGCCAACGGTGCAATTTTTGCCAATTGACCTCTGAGAATGTACCTTGTCTTCACACATGACTCAAGATACTTCATTTTCTCATCTGTAACAAGACCAGAGTTCCTGAGACATGTAAGAATACAAGGTTCATTGACAATTGTTTCAATTGAATTGTAAATTCCATACCTGGTTAAGTCAATGTCAGACTTATTTCTGAAGGGGAAATACCCAGCATGTTGTCTGACTGCTTGAGGGTTAGGTTGGTACCATTCGAACTTTACACTTGCAATTCCTTCAATTGCATTCAAAATGTCTGAGTCCGAGTCAGCCATTTGTTCTCTCTTTGTAGTCTTGAAAGCGTCAAGAAGTTTTGCGGCTGTTGTGACATTGCCATGTGCATAGTAAATGTGACCATCCAAATCTGTTATGGTCAATCTGAGATTGTATCCTTTCTTATTTCCGTCTTGAATTGCAGCAAGTACACCCATGAAGCCTTCTTTGTTCTTTCCTTCGTCAAATTTTACTGTAAAGTCTCCACCTTGTCCAATTTTACTTCTAACCTCGCGATACTTTTCATATGCATATCTTGTTCTTTCCATGGGGGCATGTGCGTCTTCACCTTTTCCTTTTTTCCTCCTCAAAGGATTCAATTGTTTGTCATGTTTCCAGTAGAATCTGGCAAAGCCGTCGTGTCCTTCAACTTGAGGTTCACTAACATCGAAAGGCATGTCCATAAGACGTTCTTCTTCTAACCTCTCTAGTCTGTTTGGATAATTGGCACGTGCTGTTTCCAAATCCATTTCGTAGCGAAGACCAGACAATTTGTCATAGACTTTTATGGGTCTTCCCTTCCTATATTTAAAATTCTTCGAAACTCTCCAACCATATCTTTGCAACTCTGCTTTTATTCTAGCAGACTTTCTATCCATTCTATATGGGGGCATTTTTATAAAAATAAAAAAATATATTTTTTCTTTACTTTACATAACCTCCCGCTGCCATAAGCCTTTGACGCCAACCCATACCAGCTAATGAAGGTTGGCTTGGTTTAGTTTGAAAACTAACCTTTGGTTTTGGTTTTTCTTCAGTTTTTGGCTCCCCTTCTTCTATTGGTTTTTCGTCACTTTTCGGTTCCTCTGACTTTACTTCACTTGCAGGAACAGTTGTGTCGTCAACATCTTCGTAAATATCATATGCCATTTGTTTTTGTTTTCCTTTCAACTTTTTGTGTTTGTTGTAAAGTTTAGAATATTTCGACTCTAAGTCAATGAGATGTTCTATAATGAACTGTTGGTCGGTGAAGTAAACTTTTCCATCTGTTGTCTCGAAAGCTCCTTCAGACTTCAATATTTTATTTGTGAGAGTCTGTTTCTTTTTTGAGATACTAGCCGTTCCATTTCTATGAAAAGTGACTTTATAGTTAGGGTTTGTATTTCCAGACCTGGCACTTTCTATTATTGAATTTTTCTCTTCATCTGTAAGTTCTTTGACAGGTTTTGACAATGGTTCTGAACTTTTTGTTTGTGGTGTCAAATCTACCGTTTCAACTTCTTCGGTCATTTCATCTCAGTAAAAAATTTTAGTTTGGTTTGTTTTCAACTGGTTGTTGTTGTTTTTTAAGTCGGTCTAAAACTTCCTGAGGTATAGGAAGAACTTGACAAACACGTTGTGTAACTGCTGGAAGCCGACAAATCCATCTTGAACCCATTTGTCTCAATGCTGTATTGTTCATTTCATCTCAGTAAAAAACTTTACATTCCCCAAGTTTGAGGTGGTTGCGGTTGGTTATTGTTTACCCACTGTTGTGCATGGTTATATCCTCTGTTAAAGAATCTTTCACCTTGGTCCATATAGTGTCCTGCTTGGTTATAGTAGTCATTTGCTTTGTTATAATAGTTTCCTGCTTGTCTTCCTACATTGTCCATCCATCCTTGAACTTTTCCTCTTGTTTCAGGATTTGGAATAAGATTTGCTGCATCTCGTGCTACATCCCAACCTTTCTGTACAGTTTGTATAATAGGTTGTGCTTTCTCTTTCAGTATACCTAATGTACTCAAAATCTTCCTTCCAATTCCAAATGCACCTCTGGCTAGTGTTCCCACTGCTGGCAAAAATCTAGATGCAACTCCTGCTAATGCGCCAAATAAACCCATTTCTTATAGGGTAAAAAATGACGAATCCAAACAAGGACCCCTATGTTTCTAAAGCGACAAAGAAAGCACTCATGATAAAAATCTTTAGTTCAACACCAAATGCTTGGTTTATGGATATCTTGGAAAACATTCCGAGGTATAGAGAAGATGGACCTCCATACTGGCTAATATTTGTTGGTCAAAACACAAGATACTGTGAAGCCATACCATTATGGTCCAAAAATATTTTAGATGTGAAAACTGCTTTGACAATATTCGTTGACAAATACCATCCAACAAAACTGACATCTGACTATGAAAGTTCTTTCAAATCAGACGATATTAAAAACTATCTGCGTTCAAAAAATGTAAACCAATATTTCATTGTCGACCAAAACCATTCTGCTCTTGGTGTCATTGACAGTTGTATAAAAATCTTAAGAGACTTAAACCAACCACAAGGCGGCGAGGTAGATGAAATGTCATATGACGACAAGTATAGACATTTCTCCATGGCAAAGATGAGACAAGTTTTAAATATTTACAATAACCGTAAACAAAAAGGTTTGGGAAACCACTCCCCGAAGAAATGAAAAACAACCCTGACTTAGAGAAAGACTATATATTTAATAGTTTAGTCAAAAGAGACAAACAAGAAAGAATGCCAGGCTTCAAACTTAAGAAAGGTGACAAAGTAAAAATAGAAATACCTAAACGCGACCCATATGAAAATACTATTGACTATGACAACAATGGGAACTCGACAGGTACTCACATTCGTGTTCGTAAAAATAGAAGAAAGTATACAAGAGAATATTATGAAGTTTTAGGCAAACATGGCAAAATGTACACTGCAAGCAGAAGATAAAACTACTATTGTCAGACCTCGTTTCAAACTTGTCAAAGTTCAAGGTGGTATACTTTCAAAGACAGTTCCTAACAAATATAAGACAACTCCTGACGAATATGCTAAAGAAGTTGAAAATGACGACTAAGCAATTCTATACCATGCGTAAACTGTCATGTAAGGTGGCATGTAGTCTTTACTTTGTCCCGTTGTTTGCGTATATGAAACGCGATGTGTATGGTTTCCATCTCCTGAGTGTTACCCAGAAACAATTTATAGCAAACTGAACGTTGTCTTTAACATCATATCCTTTACCTTTTTTCATTGCTGACCAATCCCAAAATTTATGCTTATGCCAACCTGCTTGAGATGTACTTAAATCTATGTAGTGACTGTGCGCAGGTAAGTTTTCACCTGAAATCGTTTTACTTCCACCTGTTTCCTTTGAAGAGTTTGCACAATACAAAAACCTGTCGACTATTTGAGTCCAAGTTCCAAAACCAAGTACTACTTCTGGTCTGGTAGAGTTCATTGACGTATAAATAGAGCCTATAGGATATAGTGTTTGAAGTATTTCTGTCTTTAATGTTTGAAGCTCTGTTTTGTCAGCTTTTTTATCATATAAATCTTGAGCAGTGAATTTAACTTTGTTTTCATCCTCCATGACATAGACATTTCTACATCTAATGTATCTCATCGTTGTTATGTCTTCTTCCGATGTTAAACCTTGTGGAAAGTTAGGAGGTTTCCAATCTAATACATCCCCACCAGCTCCTTCAACCGTTCCTTCAATATTTTCTATACCAACAGTTGCGAAGAAATCGTGTGTATGTCCAACGTCACTTTTCCTGTTTAAGGTTTCTTGTAAGTTTGTAATATTTGCAATGGTATGTGTATGAGTCTTTTTAGAATATTCTTTGTCAGCTCTTGTCACTTCACTTGACATTTTATTGTCAACATATGTTTTATCTGCTTTGTCATCTAACATTGCTGGTAGTTCATCTACGTCATAGATGTTATGTGTATGATGTTTTTGTGGGTATGTTCTATCTGTCCATGCGAGAATATAGTCTCTTGTTGCATCTACATACTCTTTGTCAGCTTTGTTGTCAATATCTGCTTTCAAAAGAAGTTCATCTATAGGTTTCTCGTTTAAAGTTCTTTTTGTTGGATTTATACAAACAGTATGGTTCTTACTGTCTTGAAACAGAAACTCGTCTGTCAATGGGTTTATCGTCAGTTTTAAGTTTCCTTCTTTCAATGACTCAGATATCTTAGAATAGTTTGAAAAGTTTGTTGTGTTCTTATTTAGAGCTTGCACAATGAGTTGTCGGTTGTGTTGTATTTCTCTCATAGACGCTGTTTCTTTCGACATTTTTATTCTAGATAAAATATGCTTTCAATAGAAAAAGAAAATTCAAGAGTTGCTACAACTAAACCATTAGATGAACTTTTTACGAATGTCGGTCAAAAGTTTGAGACAGAGACCGTAAAGCATGAAGGCTATCGTTTTGACTACCCACTTAGATGGTTAAGAGACCCATCCGTCACAAAAGCTATTGGCTTTCGTAGAATGAAGTTCATTTCAGAAGCCATACATGGTTTCCCATTTACGGTCGCTTTTGAAGTTCGATACTATAACAAAGAAAAACGTACGTATGAGAAATTTGAACAGGGAAAACTTTTACAAGTGAATTTGCTTGTAAACTTAGAAACAACTCTTCAAGCTTTTCAAGAAAAAATAAACGATATCTATCTCGAATATGCAAAACAGTACAACATTGACGAAGGAGAGTACCATCTCGATATTATATATGACAGGAAAAATGCAACTGTTAAATTCAATAGAATAGAAGACCTTGGAGAAGACGTTTATATTTCTACAAAATATAACAACTTGGCATGGTATAGATTTTTGAGGATGTTAAATCAGCCTGCAGAATATCCAGTACACCCGAACTTTTATGAAGTCGAAAACCCTAATGGAACATATGAAAATGTTTTCGACTCAGATGCTATTATAGTTCATGCTTCATTTTCTGGTGCACAAAACTCTTTTTTATGCTTGGCAAATGACTTTTACGAAAAACCTACAAAGCTATATGAACCACCAAGTGGAAGTATTTCAGACTTTCAAGTATGGTTTACTACAGATGGAAGAAAGAGAATAATTCCATTATACCATGCGTTTTACTTAGAACTTAGTCTCATATACAACTACTATCGAACGGTAAAAATATGATTTTTTAATACGGTTGAGGTGTTGGATTTGGTTGCCAACTAGACTGTGGTGCAGGTTCAGGCTGTTGTATAACAGGAGCTTGCTCTTCTGGTTCAGGGTCTTTAGGTATAATACCAACGAACTGACCTACTCTTTTGCCAATATTTTTGACTCCGTTCCAAATTCCTCTTCCGACGGTTTTTATTCCATTCCATATACCTCTTCCAACATTTCGAAAGAAGTTTCCTATTCTTCCAAAGAAACCCATTTTACTATATGTAAAAATCTAATGTCCACTAGTCTCTTACGTTTCCTTCTGAGTTCCATAGCATTCTTTAACTGGAGCTCATACATTCTATTTCTCCTCTGGTAGAAAACATACTCTGGGTCAACTCCTGTGTTCGCGTCATCTGCATAGAGTTGTTTATATCCCACTTCGGGGTTTGTATAAAACTCTTTCCATCTCATATTTGCATACCATGGTGGCAAACCTAACGCAGCGTCATTTGACATGGCAGTTTGCATTTGTACATCTGTTGGCACTTGACCATAGTTTGCCATTGCAGTTTGTATTCTAACTTCATTTGGAATATTCTCTGGGTTTGGTTGTCCAGGTTGCTGTGCATTCGCTAAGTTCTGTGCGTCCATTTAATATTAGATAAAAATATCTCTTACGAGTACATATGCTGAACATTTGCAGGCATTGGTTCATCTTCATATTCTCTATATCTTTCTGCACGTCAAATAAGTAAATGACACAATGGAAAAAACCTAAAACAAGTAGTCCTATTTCAAACCACATTTACTTACTAGTAAAATTTCTTTGTTATGACACTTTCTCCAGTTTATAGGACCTCTCTCATATTCTATCTTATCGTATCTAAACTCATAGTCATGTATGTCCTCTAACCATCTCATGACACTTTCCAAACCACTTTTATCGGATGTAAAGTAAAAGCATGGATGGTTATGTAAAACGTCTAAAGTTTCTAAAGAGTCTCTCAAAGTCCAGTCTACTTGGTATTGAAAATCCCATGTGTTATAGAACGGCGGGTCCACTATAAAGAAAACATTTTCCTTGTCTTTATATTTTTCATACAACTCTGTCCAATGACATCTCACAAACTCTATACCCTCAATATATTTTTCTATGTTCTCTTTGAAAACATTTGTATAGTTAAGATATAAAACTTTTGACATAAGTGTTTCAATGTCATGAACTCTTATAGCACCACTATATAATAGTCTAGCAGATATACTATCCCAGTCAATATACTCTGCCTTTTTCAAAACCTCTCTGACAGTATTTTTCTTATCTAATGGTATACGTTCCATCTTACCTATAGGTATCTTTTCTTTTAACTCTTTCAATATTTTGTTTGTGTCTGGTATATGTTTGAGACGGTTCATATAGTTGTCGAAGTCATTGCATATAATCTTTGAGTCAGGAAATATTGTATGGCACAAATGAGATATATAGAAACTTCCACCGAACAAGTCTACAAATGTTAGACCATTCGGTAGTTTCTTAAGTTCTCTCAATAGAATATCTTTACATCTACTCTTATTTCCAAAGAAGGGTAACGGTGGTTTTGTAAAATTCATTTTATATATATAATAAAAATGTTTTTTCCTGAAAAGTGACAGAAAAGTGACAAAACATGTACGAAGAAGTCTTGAAAATTCAAGAGGGTAGAAAAGAGGTTAGAAAAGAGGTTATATCTAACCTTCTACCCTAAACATTATTTTTGTCTGATTTTACGAAGAAGTCTTGACAAAACATGAAAACATATATAATTTGTGAAAAGCTCCTGGAAGACCCGTATATAAGAACTTCATTTATACTAAACATCTTCAGGGCTAGAAGGCACGAAGTGCCTGGAAGCCCCACTACCTTTTTTTTTTTTTTTTTTTTTTTTTTAGTTAACTGATTGTGAATCATTTTTCTATATTGTGAGAAACTCTTAAATCCATCTACCATTTTCTTCAAAATTGCTAAAACTAATAAAGGTTATAATCCAAAATTGCAAGCGAACATTTGCAAAAATTAAACCTTATTGAAATTGTGTGTGAAAATTTTGTATCAAATATTCAATCTTTGATCGGCTAAAAAAATCTTAAAATTATCGGAAACAGAATTACACAGCGAATACACAATAGAATTTTTAAAATAAAAAATAAACCTTATGAATTGTATAAGATTGTCAAAAATTAGGGTTGTTAAAAATATCAAAAATTAGCGTTTTGAAGACACCATGGTGTCTTATAATTTTCCCTTCCTTATTGGCGTGTAGAAATAAATGCGCCAATAGATTGAAGAAGAAGAATTATTTTTCTCTTAATGAACTTTAATCCTTTTGATATAAGAATATTAAAAACATTAATATAATTTCGATTTCGGAAATTAAATTTCCAAATTTTTTGTCGATTTCGGAAATAACAGGATCCCGCATCCAACACGCAACAACAAAACACAAAACACACTTTTTGGTTCTTTCATCGTTTTAATCGTAATTTATGTAATACATGATTTGGATAAATTTTACAAAAATAGAACCTATATTATATTCTTTTCAAAGATTCTTGCAAATCATCAAAAATAATTGTATTTTAAAAAACGATCAAATGATCCTTTCATTATTTTAAACTTAAATTAGTTTTTATGATTGACTAAAGCAATTATATTTATTCATCATTAAATAAACAAAAAAATAATATTTGAGAGTTATTTCAAAAAAAAACATTGAATTTATTAATTTGTCTCAATTTCAGTATTATAAATTTTTATAATTTCAATATTTTGAAATACACTTTTTAATATTTCAATATTTATGATATTTCAATGTATTAAGTGGTCTCAAATTGAGCTTCTCAAATATAAGTTGGCCTATTCAAATAATAAAATTAAATAATATTTAAAATAATAAATAAAAGTGATTGAGGTCATAGCAAAACGGCTGTTTCAGTCATTAATTAAAAATAAAAAGGGTAAAAACTAAATACAATGGGTAAAATTCAATAGTATCTGTGCTATCGTTCAATTTGAAGGTGTCTTTTGAAACCGCAAGACACATTGAATTTTTGAATAGTGTATTATGGTTTGACAGACACCAATGAAAAAAATAAAATGATATTTATTTTAAATATATAAGATCCTTATATAAAATATAAATATTTTATCGTTTTATTTTCTTGTTTTAGAAATGTTTTTTATTGAAAAATCAATAAAACTAACTCCAAAATAAAATTTTTGATTTAAAGACACTATGATGACACCAGGCAAATCTTCCAAGACAACTATCGTCGGGAATCTAACAACCCTATCAAAAATGATACTTATTGTATGTTTGTTTTTATATTCCATTTTTGATATTATTTATGATGTTTTATTGAACCTCAAATTGAATCTATTCAATTCTCTCAAAAAATTATCATTAAAATAAATGTTATTGTTTTCATGTTTTGTATCTTCTTTAAAGGACTCTGATCCACTCATTACACAAGAATTAGTTGATGCAATCAACAATGATCCAAAAGCACCATATGCTGCTAAACTTTATCCTAAATTCTCAAAAATGACCATTGGTGAAGCAAAACGCTTCTTATCTCCTGTTAGACCACCTCCACAGAACCATGGTTCCGCTGTTCCTGTTGGCGCAAATGAAGAATTCTTTAATTGGGTTGATACAAATTATATAACAGGACTTACAAACATTGCTGCATTCCCAACTCAAAATAATGCCTCAAATCAAGTTGCTTATAAACCAACTGTTGATACAATGCAGTTCCCAGTATTTGATGTTACTCAATTATGCAGCTCATGGGCTCCAGCTGTCACGGCCGCTATGACAGTCTCTGTTTCTCGTTGGGCCTCCCAATTTGTCAACTTCTCTTTACAATATGTTCTGGATTGTGATATGCTCGGTGATTCATGCATAGAAAGAACTCCTCTCAACGCATATCAGCTTTTCTGGACATACAATCCACCAGATTATAATAGCTGGGATACTCCAGGATCTTCCACATCTGAGAGAGCAACATACATGCAAGCTCCTCGTTCAGATTTCAGAAGAGAAAACTGCCAAAACAATAGATGCTATCCAGGTCTCACAGGATGCAAGCACTATTGGGCTCTCACAGGCAGCTGCAACCCAGGAGATCCAGTGACAGGTTGCCCAATCTATTTCCTCTATAACTGGAGATGGATCAAATCTCATCTTTGGGAAGTCGGAGCTGTAACATCATCTATCACAGTGTACAGCTCTTTATTCACATATGCTGGAGGTGTTTACTCCGGATATTGGCAAACAGATGGATCAGCAATTCAATCAACTTGGGGAAAAATCCTTGGTATGTTAGATGTCACCATCATTGGTTGGGGACAGAATGAATTGAACCTTTCAACTGACGCAACGAAATATACCAAGAACTTATATAGATACTGGTGGGTTATTCCACATTTTGGTTCTGATTTCGGTATTTCATATCCGGCTTGCAATACAACCACATGCAAAGATAATGCCACCCTTGTTACATCTTCAACAGACCAAATCAAGCTTGGCACTATTAATATTACTGGTTTACACTCGGGTGCCCAAACAGGTGGAACAAACTATAAAGGATTCATGAAATTCAACAGACGTTTTGATGATTGCAATATTGAATCACATGCTGTTGGTGCTGTACCATATAACTTTGTTCCTCTTCCTTACAGAACACCTTCTCCAACAGAAAATGATACTTAAATTTGAATAAAAATATTACTTCGGTGAGATTTGTTAAAAATTAAACTTTTTTACTAAAGGCTAAGGCAATTAGTATTGTTCTAGGTCAGTTTTATGATAAATTTGGCAGAATTATTAAAGATGTAATAATCTTTTTGCAATAATCATTAAATTGTCAAGTGATTCAAGAATATTATCTATTTTATGTAAAACAGCCTTCTTAATATAAACCATTTTCCTTGTTATGGAACTTTCCTGCCTTTTTTGATACCATAAACCCATTTTCCTACGTAATGTCTCTCTATCGTATTTCTGCCTCAATATTGAGTGAACCTCTATCAAATTTATTTCGTTAAAAGTTGAAATGTTTAATGTCCCCAAAAAATAGCTAAAAATTTTTGGGGTTGCTAATGGCAGAAACGTGAGATTTGAATGGGGCTTCCGTTTTTTGCCTCATACTTATAATATAGGTTCTATTTCTGATTCTCTTTCGATATATCATAAATTTAATCTTTTTTTGGAAGCCAAAAAATTTCGGATTTCCTAAAAATAAATGAAAACTTTAATATAGAAATAGCATCTGATTTTAATGCGATTGCACAAGGATTAAAAAGAAATTTGGAAGGCATAAAAAATTGTGATGTTTACAATTTATTTTGACACTCAATGAGCTTTTAAAAAAATTGTTTTTAAGACTAAAAATTAAGTTTATTCAAACAACAATGATACAAATAGGTAATTTACTTAGTATATATTTATCTCCCTCGGGCTCGAGTCTCATTTCTTCTTTGAGCTCGAGATTGAGTAGCATAATCTAGCCGAGTCAGCACATGTATTTTTTTGATCTGGCGCCGAATGCATTTATTTTCCCTCTCTTCTTATTGTTTTCTACTCATCTTCTGTTTTTGTTCTTTTCTTTTGTATACTATTATTGCAAAATTTGTTTTTTCTGTCGGTTGTTTCGAAAGTTATGAGGTAATTTTGTATTTATTTTGTTTTTGTATATGTGTTGTCGCTAAGTTCTTAAGAATTTTTGTAGTTTCGGGTGAATGATTTGAATAATGTGTGAAAAAGTTTTGTTTTTGTTGTTGATCTTGAGTAGGCGTTGGGTATACTATCTAGTAACCTCATCTGTTCTGTCTGATTGCTTGCTTGGGTTTTCCAAAAAAATTACGAAAGCTAAAAAGGATAGATCAAAGTGAAGTGGACAAGCCACAAATTTTATAAATTAAAATTTTTTTGGAAAAAAATTTAAAAAATTAACTTAAATTTTAATTTTGAAACGAGAAAGTGTGGATTAAGTCAATATTAAATCGACAAATCAATTTAATTTTATATTGAAATATGATTTATTACATCATTTTCATATAGTGGCTTAATAATTTTTAATATTTTTTATTTATGATCTAAAGTAAAACAATATAATTTTTGAATTAGACTACTATCATATATTTCACACATTATCATAATTATTTGATAATGCAATTTTGTGGTAAAATTCAAATCCAAATTGAGCTTAGAATCCTAATTTATCTCAAAGCAATCAGAATCATACAATATTCTCGAAGTATAGATAAGATTACATTAAGTAATATTTGTTTAAATAAGATAAAAAATGGTAAAAATTTGCATTTATTCGTATATTAGGAATTCAACAAAAATTTCATAGTAGAATATCGTATCGAAGGTTCTGAAAGGTGTTTTGAGATGCTTTTATGAACCTGAATGAAGATGATGAAATTTAAATTATAAAAAATTAGATTCTAATTTGAAGTGGGGGAATTACATAATTTACAAGGACAAAGAATTTCTAACAGTGTAAACTCGTAATTCCTTAAGGTAAATAAAAAATTCGCAATATAGTTTATTACTAATAAAAAGAATGAATGAGCATAATAGAATTGGGCAAGGAATGAATGTTACCATACTAATTCTACGAAATTTTGAGTTTGACTGAAATTATCTGATAAGATTTCTTGAGATTCAGACAAAACCATATGGGTAAAAACGGAATCACATATGTGATTCAATTGCTCATATTGATGTCTGGAATCAACCTCGTTCTTGAGCCAATACATTGAATTTGACACTCGAGTGTCAAAAAAATGCTCATTTTAGATGGGGGCGATACCCAAAACTACCGGATTTGCCATTTTTTGAGGGGAAATAACCGTTTTTTAGCTGGCAGATTTTTTAAGCACCAAACGGGGGACATTATTCATTATAATTGTTTATAGAAAATAAGGAAAATTATAGGAGTTTGTTAATGATTTCAAACAAATTGACAAAATCAGCTTTAGCAAATGGAAATATTTAGGAAAATTGAAAATTTCTCTTAAAAATGAGTTGATGATGTATTTGAATGTTTTCAGAAATGATGAATATATTATGTTTTCTAATAAAATTCTTTACTGACTAAAAATATTTTATAAGAAATTTTAAAATTTAAATGAGATGTTCCTGGGATGCTGGAGCCATTGATCCCATTGTACTTATGAGTGGTGTCTTGTTCTTCCTCAGCTTGACAACCAAGAAAATTGTAATAATAACGAAAATTACAAGAACTCCTGCCAAAACACCAATTGTTGCCTTTGCGACTACTGGAATTCCTCCTGTCTTCTGGGAATCAGGTGTTGGTGTCTAAGGAATTACTGTTTGTGTTGGATTTGGTGGAAGTGTCTCTGTTGGTTTCGAAGATGGCTTTGGCGATGGCGAAGGTGATTGTGTTGGTACTGGAGATGGTCTTGGTGTTGGATCAAACTGTATCCAGTTGATCATCGTGTTAATAACTTTTTGTCTGATCTTCTTAAGCTGTGGAGAGTCAGTTTCTTGTTCTGGATTCAAGTCATCGGAGAAACCTGACTCTAAAATGGAATCTACTTTCTTATCAATATTATCATCTGGAATTGTACAGGAAGCTTCAAGGAAAGCATCATTGAAACCATGTACAAAGTATGTCCTTTCGGCTGGTGGGAATCTTCCGCCATATTTGTCATTGAAAACTGTTGCATTTGCTAATTTCGTGATATTAAACAAATCTGTACAGACGGATGTCCAATATGCTGGGGCAATATCAATATCTCTCCACTCAGCATTCTTGCCTGCGCATGGGAATGATGAGATTTCGTTGCATTTGATGTAAGGTCCTTTTTTCATTTAAGGTACCCTATTCAAAAAATGAAAGGGGTCCCTCACAAAATTGAAGGGGTACCATTCAAATTCTATCGAAATAGTACCTTAATTAAAAAAGCTCTCAACCGGTACCATTCAAATTCCCTCAAAAATATTGAAAAGATTTTAGGTATGCTGCTAATATAGTTAGTAGCATCATACAGAATGCATAGACAAATTTTTTACTAATTATTTTTTCTTAGCAATTCAAATTCGAGATCGCTTAACTATGCTTAGAATCATAAGCATAATAATTTTGCAAAAGGCATGGGAATAATTTGAAAATTAATTTCAAAATTATTAATACTAGTGCAAGCTAGTGTAAGCATGTAAATGCATATTTGTGCACTGATTCGATACTCTTTTTTGGAAATTGTACTTTATCTTAAATTTCGAATGCAAATTTTTTGAATATGTGTATTGAAACTGTAACCTTTTGTCTAAGTTGCATTCTAATATAGCTCGAATTCTAAAAATGGGACTTTACTCCTCTTTCTTTGAGAAAATTTTAGACAATAGCCAAATTGCTAATTTTGTTGGAGTAATACCTGCATTGGGAGGTATAATATATTGTTCAGGGTTGAAACAAGGAGGTAGTTAGTGATAAAGCATAGTTACCACATGAAATGCAGTAAAATTTTGAGTCTAAACGTCTTTTAAACCATCAAGTATAAATTATAGAAAAAGATACTTTATATATAGTTAAAATAAAAATGATTAGAAAATAGCGTTTTTGATCAAAATTTCAAATTTTTATTTCCGAATATCTCTATTTGTGTCTAATTAGAGACATTTCTATAATTTTAGTGCGCAGCATATGCAATTCCTCTTTGGTTATTGCATTAATTTCTCAAAAAGAAAAAAGTCTTCAATAATTTTTCAACAATACAGTACTAAAGCTAAGAACTTCTAAACACATGAAAAGTTATATCATTCTCGTTAATATGTAGATTATCAATGAAAAGAATATTGTGAAATTTGAATATTTTTTAAAATAGAATGTAGAAATACTTATCAATGCTTAAAATAGAGATATGTGAGAGCTAGATCCGTATTTATTTACATTTTCGTGCATATTTTGAATATCAAATTAAATTAATTTTGAAGATTTTAGCATCTAAAAGTATTTAATGCCCCTATACAAGCAAGGTAATTCTTACATGTCTTAGTAAGTCCAAACTTAATGTTTTATGATATGGGCCTGACCTCTCCATATGGTGACGATAGAAATTGAATAGGGTACCTAAATAAAAAAAAAGAGTTTAATATTCGGCTCTTTTATCTGCCAATTTAGAATTCAAACTTGGATCCTTGGACATATGTGGCCAAAGATTTGTAAATTGGTCGGTCGGAACAATTTTTGGAACATATTCTGCCATAAGATCGACAATTTGCTTTTCTGTCGTGTAGTTTTCATAATTGAGCAATGTGCACATTTGCTCTATGTATTTTGTGAGTGATGTTGTACGTAAACCAGTGCTAATTGCTTCAGTAAACATAACAACGAAATCAAGTGGACGATCTTTAAGTCCGGTTGTATTACTAACACCAAATCTTTCTTCCATAGCTGGTGTTGTTGTGTTATCCTTTCTGTTGGCAATATAATCGATTGTTCCGTAAGCACCTCAAAATGTATCGTAGCAATTGCCCCAATGGTTAAATACGACAGCTTCATGGTGATCATAATCTGAAAACTCGGTATCAGCAAGCAAGAAAGCTGATGAAGCCCATGTTCCGACGATATTTAATTCTTTTCCTTTCTTCATGTGAACCCAAGTGGCAAGAGATGCTCCAAAACCTCTGCCTACAGTAAGAACGCGGCACTTCGATGGGTCGTTGCAGTATTGTTTCTTCATTTCGAGGACAAAATCTTTAATATCTTCTAAGTGTTGATCGATTGTATTGTATTTAAGATTTTCGGTAGAAAGATCTTCAGTTGGAACTGAAGCACCGAAATATCTGTTTTCAAGACCAATAACTATATCTTTAGAAGAACTAGCAACTTGATTGACAGGGCTGACTTCTAATTCAGCAGAATTAAGGGTAGTAAATCCACCAAGATAGAAAATAAGGTGATCAGCCTTCTCTGCGTATTGAGTATTCACGTAATATCTTTGATTGAATTTCTTGTCTGAATTGTTGTGATCAATGACTTGGCTGAATGTTTTTGTTTCGTATGTGTCACAAAGTGAAGGAAGTATGAAAAGCGAAAACATTTCTTAAAAGAGAAAAAGAAATAATTGCAAAAAAAGTGAGAGAAAAAGAAAATTTGCTTCAAATTAAGTTAATCGTCTCATAGTCTTGGTTTGTATTCTTTTGCGTTTTGAATTTTTCCAAAATGGCGGATGGTGGAAGTGTCATATTAAAAAAATTCAATCCAAAGCGACTCTTGAGCTGATAGAACGATTCAAATTTCTAAGTAATAGAAAGTCCTAGAAAATTGTCTTTCTATCAACTTTAGATGGTTGGAGAATTTGAACAATGAAGATGGTTAGAAGGATTTTGCATATGTGACCATAGCAATATGTATATCAAATGGCATAAGTAAGTGAGACGCATTGGAATAGTACCAAAAATCGTATTTTTGAAATGCGATTCATTATAATCATATATTAATAGATATTAAAATAAATCCTTGATATGTGTTTCAAAAGATTCATATGTTTCAAGTCATTTGAATGGTACTTTAGCATTATCGAATCTTCCTAAAATATAATTTTAAAAATATCTGTTTGGTATGTGTGCTGCTATTTACATTTATCAGTATAATCTAATAGAAAGATTGCCATCCCAAAAATTATGAGTCAAATAACAAAAGATTAAAAGATTCATTCAAACTTAACAGAAACTGTTGTCACATTTTAAGTTTTTATTAGATATGCAAATGGCAACAATCTGTATAGTTCTTTTTTCCGGATATTGATCTTGAATTTAGGAACCAGGCTGATAGCCACAATAACATAACCAAATGCCAAAAACCTTGTTGATATATCAAAATTAGTTGTTAAATCATGATTCTCTTTAAGCATTATATGAAAATTGAAAAAATCTTCAATATGACTTTCAAGTGATGTAATATTAAACCATTGAAATTCTTTATTCACATATGTTCAATAATATAAACTCGAAAAACGAATAACTGGCTTTTTTCATGGACGAATCTTTTTCTGTCAAATAATTGAAATGGTTATAGAAATTGAAAAACTTGTCCACTGGTCCCAACCAATTTATATATTCTACAAAAATGAAGAATAATTATGGAGTATCTTATTTGACTGGCAAAAACGATAGCGTTTCTGAGAACTATTCAAACTGGTAAAAAAGGGGTTGGCGTCCTAAGGCGTCCTAGTGTAAATTTCTCAAAATTGTGATATTTACATCACATTTTTGAGAGGTTTATGGGCGTCCTAAGGGAAAATTGAATAGCTAGGGCGTCCCGAATTTTCATTCTAAGATTTAAATATATTATATACTTAAGTATAATACAAGCAATATAAAAATTAAATTTTTATTATGTTAACTTATAAGAAATTTTTTTGAATTATCGTTGATTTATTGTAATCTTTCCAGGCTATACTTTTGAAATCAACTTTACCTGTCATACGCATTAATGTAGTAGATGTCCAGGTGTAGCTATTATATCCCAGCAACATTGGTATTTTATCATTGTAAGATATCAAAATGAAGCGTTTTTTCAGATATAATTTTTCGTAAATTTTTCAAAAATAAGATGGTAAAAAAGCCTCGACTTGCTCGAAAAATAACAATTTTTTTTACTTGTAAAAATAACCCTTTTACAGCATGGGCAGCTATTCAATCACTATTTCTTTTTCTAAAAGTATATTTTTCAAAAAAAATTAAGATCAAATTCGACAATTTCTTGATGAAAGCAAAAATATTACACATACTTCTAGATGCATGGGATAAAATATGCAATTATTCAATCAATTCGCATGATTTGAAAAAAAAAATCTAAATTTGATAAAAATGTAGAAATTTTTTATTTTTAACTTGAGATTCGATTTTTTTGATCCAATTTGTGATTTTTTTTGATCGGAATTTCAATTAATTTGTTGATCAAAAATGACCTCACAATGTCTGATCATAAGTGAAGTCATCTTCATGGGTATTTAGAAATTCCAAGAGAAATTGCTTATTTCTCGCAGATGTAATATCTGAGAAAATCGAATTTAAATATTCATAAAAACCCAAATCATTCTCCGGTTCGAATAATTCATCTGTTGCTTTTTCTGTTTTTTCTATGAATTTTAATAATTTGATTAATAAATCTTCATCAGGAAGAATTATTGCTGCATTTGTGATAAAATTCCATATTGAGGTAATATGGCAATAATTACATTTATAAAATGTAATTTTATCCAAAATTTTTTGGCAAATTCGCATAATAGCATTAATATTTGAAGCTGAGATTAAACCTGTGATTACTTCTGTAACTTTTGGAAAATCATCGCAATTTAATATCTCTTTATATTGAATTGAGAAATAAAAAAAATCAAATGGATTCATTTCTTCAATTTCAAGGAGATTGTAAAAATTGATAGAAGTGTTATTGCAACAAATTGTATTTGCAGCAAAAAATATCATTTGCTCGATTCCATTTTTGGAATAAATTTGCTGGAACAATGTTAAATTAAAACAGTTGCTTAATTGTTCTTCATTGTTTTCATAAAAAAGTAACAAGTTTGCAACTGAAATTTCAAAATTTTGATAATTGCCAGTTATTTCAGTAAATATATATATTTGCTTTTCTTCATCTAAAAATGGCAAATATTGATTTGCAATATTAACTAAAGTTTGGGATAAATTGTTCCAGTTTGATTTTACAATTTGTGAGCACATTATGTAATATGTAAATTTATCCGCTTTGTAGGAATTTAAAATTGTTTGTTGTTCTGTTTCAGTTAAATTACTGAATTTTTCAAGATTAATATTGTGATAAAAAATAGAATCCTTGAAACATTCTGATATCTTTTCAATGTTTAAAACGGATGCTAAAAATGTAAAAGAACTTCATCAGTCACTGTGATTTTTTTGAAAAATTTATCCCAATTCAAGCATCCAATTGATCTTTCTGTCATTGTACTTATGCATTGATAAAGTTGATTTAATGAATCCGAAGAATAATCATTATGCTTGACTAGTTGAGTTAGTTGATACAGACTGTCGTCAGCCATTTTAAAAAAATGAATAAAATTGTATAGTAAATTATATTTGTGAAATTTGTGACGCTACATTCAATCTAAGACCAATATCTCAAAGAATTCCTCATTTAAGTATTACTTTTCATTGTTTTTTAAAAAATATCTTTGCTTATTTGTTCACTTTTTTGACATTTATTATATGCTTTTTATCATATTTCCGATGATATGAATATATATTCTATATAAGAATGACGCTACATTCAATCTAAGACCAATATCTCAAAGAATTCCTCATTTAAGTATTACTTTTCATTGTTTTTTAAAAAATATCTTTGCTTATTTGTTCACTTTTTTGACATTTATTATATGCTTTTTATCATATTTCCGATGATATGAATATATATTCTATATAAGAATGACGCTACATTCAATCTAAGACCAATATCTCAAAGAATTCCTCATTTAAGTATTACTTTTCATTGTTTTTTAAAAAATATCTTTGCTTATTTGTTCACTTTTTTGACATTTATTATATGCTTTTTATCATATTTCCGATGATATGAATATATATTCTATATAAGAATGACGCTACATTCAATCTAAGACCAATATCTCAAAGAATTCCTCATTTAAGTATTACTTTTCATTGTTTTTTAAAAAATATCTTTGCTTATTTGTTCACTTTTTTGACATTTATTATATGCTTTTTATCATATTTCCGATGATATGAATATATATTCTATATAAGAATGACGCTACATTCAATCTAAGACCAATATCTCAAAGAATTCCTCATTTAAGTATTACTTTTCATTGTTTTTTAAAAATATCTTTGCTTATTTGTTCACTTTTTTGACATTTATTATATGCTTTTTATCATATTTCCGATGATATGAATATATATTCTATATAAGAATGACGCTACATTCAATCTAAGACCAATATCTCAAAGAATTCCTCATTTAAGTATTACTTTTCATTGTTTTTTAAAAATATCTTTGCTTATTTGTTCACTTTTTTGACATTTATTATATGCTTTTTATCATATTTCCGATGATATGAATATATATTCTATATAAGAATGACGCTACATTCAATCTAAGACCAATATCTCAAAGAATTCCTCATTTAAGTATTACTTTTCATTGTTTTTTAAAAAATATCTTTGCTTATTTGTTCACTTTTTTGACATTTATTATATGCTTTTTATCATATTTCCGATGATATGAATATATATTCTATATAAGAATGACGCTACATTCAATCTAAGACCAATATCTCAAAGAATTCCTCATTTAAGTATTACTTTTCATTGTTTTTTAAAAAATATCTTTGCTTATTTGTTCACTTTTTTGACATTTATTATATGCTTTTTATCATATTTCCGATGATATGAATATATATTCTATATAAGAATGACGCTACATTCAATCTAAGACCAATATCTCAAAGAATTCCTCATTTAAGTATTACTTTTCATTGTTTTTTAAAAAATATCTTTGCTTATTTGTTCACTTTTTTGACATTTATTATATGCTTTTTATCATATTTCCGATGATATGAATATATATTCTATATAAGAATGACGCTACATTCAATCTAAGACCAATATCTCAAAGAATTCCTCATTTAAGTATTACTTTTCATTGTTTTTTAAAAATATCTTTGCTTATTTGTTCACTTTTTTGACATTTATTATGCTTTTTATCATATTTCCGATGATATGAATATATATTCTATATAAGAATGACGCTACATTCAATCTAAGACCAATATCTCAAAGAATTCCTCATTTAAGTATTACTTTTCATTGTTTTTTAAAAAATATCTTTGCTTATTTGTTCACTTTTTTGACATTTATTATATGCTTTTTATCATATTTCCGATGATATGAATATATATTCTATATAAGAATGACGCTACATTCAATCTAAGACCAATATCTCAAAGAATTCCTCATTTAAGTATTACTTTTCATTGTTTTTTTAAAAAATATCTTTGCTTATTTGTTCACTTTTTTGACATTTATTATATGCTTTTATCATATTTCCGATGATATGAATATATATTCTATATAAGAATGACGCTACATTCAATCTAAGACCAATATCTCAAAGAATTCCTCATTTAAGTATTACTTTTCATTGTTTTTTAAAAAATATCTTTGCTTATTTGTTCACTTTTTTGACATTTATTATATGCTTTTTATCATATTTCCGATGATATGAATATATATTCTATATAAGAATGACGCTACATTCAATCTAAGACCAATATCTCAAAGAATTCCTCATTTAAGTATTACTTTTCATTGTTTTTTAAAAAATATCTTTGCTTATTTGTTCACTTTTTTGACATTTATTATATGCTTTTTATCATATTTCCGATGATATGAATATATATTCTATATAAGAATGACGCTACATTCAATCTAAGACCAATATCTCAAAGAATTCCTCATTTAAGTATTACTTTTCATTGTTTTTTAAAAAATATCTTTGCTTATTTGTTCACTTTTTTGACATTTATTATATGCTTTTTATCATATTTCCGATGATATGAATATATATTCTATATAAGAATGACGCTACATTCAATCTAAGACCAATATCTCAAAGAATTCCTCATTTAAGTATTACTTTTCATTGTTTTTTAAAAAATATCTTTGCTTATTTGTTCACTTTTTTGACATTTATTATATGCTTTTTATCATATTTCCGATGATATGAATATATATTCTATATAAGAATGACGCTACATTCAATCTAAGACCAATATCTCAAAGAATTCCTCATTTAAGTATTACTTTTCATTGTTTTTTAAAAAATATCTTTGCTTATTTGTTCACTTTTTTGACATTTATTATATGCTTTTTATCATATTTCCGATGATATGAATATATATTCTATATAAGAATGACGCTACATTCAATCTAAGACCAATATCTCAAAGAATTCCTCATTTAAGTATTACTTTTCATTTTTGATTCAATTTTCGAACGGTTTTCGTAAATTTTGCATCATTTCATTTTTTAATGGGAAAATCATCTATATTTAATCAAAAAAGAGCAAACTTTACAGACGAAAATAAAATATTTATCAGGGAACAATCTGATAAATACCAAAAATCAACATCGAGAGATGAAAAAACGAATATAATCAAACAAGTTCTTCAATATTTTAATATTAAATACGCCGAAAATGAATCTAAAGCTGTCAGAAGATATTTTAGTTATATTGCAGTTAAAAATATTCCCGCAGTTACTGGAAAATATCCTGATACAATTGTTCGCAAAGATATGCTTTATTCGCATGATCATACAAATATTATTAATTCAAATAATATTGAACGTTACTACCGTTGCATCGATCATTCTTGTCAAGCACGTTATTTAGTTAAAATTGAGAACAGTTCAGTTTCCGAAGATTTACAAAAGGAACATATACCCGAATGCAGACAATTTAAAAAGTTACAAAATGAAAAAAATGATCTTCATAAATCAATGACTCTGACAGAAATATACAATAAGGCAATGGCAAAATTTTCTGAAGACAACGGCACTTTTCAGCAGATTAAAAAATTTATGACAGAACTTGCTGTTGGTACTGATGAAAACCCATTAATTAAAGATTCATTGGTCAGGGAAGTTTATAATAAGTCCAGAAAATTTTCTGTTGGAGAAAAAATTACAGACGATGAAATTGCTAATTTTTGTTTAATAAATGGCGAGCAGTTTTTCATTGGCCATGATTTTCAAGCAAATTGTGAGACGATGTTTTTTGGTTTTGAGAAGGCAATTCAATTTGCAAAAGAAGCCACAGATTTATTTTGCGATGGAACTTTTAAAATTACACCAAAACATTTTCAAAAAGGACAGATGCTAACAATTATGATTTGTGAACCTTCAACAAATCAATATCTACCACTTTTATTTATATTCATGAAAAACCGCACATTTGAATCTTATAAGAAGGCATTTGAATATATTTTTACTGTCAAGGGTATTCAATTTTCAAAGCTAATTCAAATTCATTGTGATTTTGAAAAGGGAATGATAGAGGCACTTCAACAAATTTTCCCTAAAGTCCGTATAATTGGATGCCTATTTCATTTCAAACAAGCTTTACACAGGAAACTTGTAGCACTTTATACAAAAAATTTCAATACTTTACAAAATTCTTTATTTAAGCTATATTCTATTACTCCATTCATGTCTCATGAAGAATTTGTACTTACAATGCATATAATTAATCAAAATAAAGTTGATTCGATCAAAGATTATATTGATTATTTCAACAAAGTTTGGTTGCCGCACTACAATTTAATATCTCAATATAATAATGCAACTGCAATATTCACTAATGATTGCCTCGAGAGTATGCATTCAGAATTTTCTTCGTTAAAACATCCAAACATTTATGAAGCTATTAAGAAGATATCTCAAATCCAATTAGATAAATATAACGCCATCAAAAATAACCAGAAGATCGAGCGCCATATAAAAACCGTTATCACTGATAGCTACAAAAATTATATTCTTGACTGCTTTCAAAAAGAACTTGAGAAAACAATTTTTTCTATCAAACAATACAACGTAAGTGATCTTTCTTTGGCTCAGAACGAGATTTCTCCATATGGTTCCATAGAATCGAGTTCATTGTTCGAAAATATTCCAGTTCATGATGCAGATATACTCAAATCGATCGATCTAACAGATAAAGATACAATGATCACTAAGTTTATTAATGAAAAAAGAGAAAAAATTATGGCATTATTTAATGAAACATTAAATCATCCAGATTTTAATTCATCCACTCCAATTCAAACTAATTTTGAGCAAGCCGATACAAATCAAGGTTCAGATGCTCCAATTCGCTCCGAAAATTCAAATATTGCAGACTCTACAGATTTAGAACCAGAAAATCAAAACCATCCTTCTACAAATCAAATGTCTAGTAATCTAGAACATAAGCTGGACCTTCTTGATCATATTGAAAAACAATTATCGAAAATGCGCTCGTTATTGGGAATTCTTCCTACTACAAATGCTATTGTTGGGCCGTCAAAACAAGTTTCAGTTAATAGCAAGCAAAATTCTGAAAAAAATAAGAAAAAATCTTCCATAACAACAAAATCAAACAATAAAAAACAAAAGTCATCCGACAATCCTCCTAAACGTAAAGCTCCTATTTCGGAAAGGATTCTCAGCGATAATAACTTATATTTTCAAGTTCATCGAAAGAGATCGAAAAGCAAACGTTCCACATCTACAGAGAAAAAGAATTGATATATGAAGTCTAATTCCTTTTATAACTACTATATTTTTATTCTTATGACTAAAAAATAATATATTATTTAACAATTTTCATTTTTTTCTTTTAACAATTTCGTTTTATTTCCATTTATTGTTAAATGATTTTTAGCATACACCTTTCTTTGTTCATCTTCTAAATACAATTTATTTTTTCTTAGATATAATTCTATTCATTCAATTCGATCGTCATTTTTCAGTACATGATCGTAATTTTCAATTATTGATCGCAATTTTACTTCAGAATTTGTTCGCAATATTGCTTATCAAAATTATATCTCTATTCTCTCATTTCTGTTTAGTCAATATCATTACACTCCTATTGTCTAATAACATGCTATTAAGGGTGCACACGAGAGGATCATGTAAACTTCAGAATTTAGAACCTTATTTTTAGGCATTATCTTGGCTACCTATTTAGGCTCGAAAAGCAAAAAATATCAAAAAATACAACTTGAGTCCATTATGACCCTTTCATGGAGGTAGTTTTTATCCGCTAGTATTTTCCCTTTGAATCTCTTTACAATTCGAAATCAAATTCAAAACTCAGTAGAAGAAAGGAAGAATCGACTTACTACGGTTGTAATACGAATAAATACATATATTTAATTATTTTTATTTACATAATAATTGTTTGAAGCTCATATTCCATCAAATTTTTAAATAAAAACATTAAAATGTTGAAAATGTTCATATATTTTAATAGGGTTTTGGCACTTTATTGAGGAATTACTACATACATAGTCGAACTGAACTTGGTATTTTGAAATTTAAATTATTTATCAAAATTAAAATTTAACTTGAAATTTATAATTATTTAGTCATATTTTGCATAATTTAAAGTAGATTTTGTAAAAAATCAAGAAAGAAAAATTTTAACGTGCTTTATTTTTTCTTTTTTATAATAATACATATTATTATATAATTAACATATTCATAATGTTTCACCCTTTCAAAAATATAATACTCCTCCTCTCAAATAAACGTACATACGGGTGGCCTCTTTTTTCAAAAAATTAAAATTTGAAATTTTTATTTTCAAAAAAAATTTGGATTTTATATTGAAAACTGACACTGGGAGGACGATAGGGCTGGAATTGGAGATACCCCGCTCACTTGGGAAAAATACGGATCTATATTATGGGTCTTACATCATGTAAAACGAATTTTCTTAAAGTAAATTTACTTTTTCTTCAATCTTTCTTACATATTTATTAAAAAAAATTATCCAAAAAAAATGTTTTAGAATGAAAAAAAATAGAAAAATCTTCATTTATAGTCTTTCTTGAATGTATACGTTTTGATTTTTTTTTTCTTTTTTAAAAAATTCAATTTCTAGAAAAATCGAGAAAAAAATCATTTTCTTCTATTTTTTAGGACGCCATACCCATTGAAATCTCCTCTCAGGACGCCATAAACTATTCAATTATGGTGTAAACTTCTCAAAAATTGAATAGTTTACATCAGGACGCCTTAGGACGCCAACCCTTTACGCGCCCTTCAAACTTAACTCGTATCATATAATATTCTTTTTCATATGAATTTTAATTGATTTGTTCTGATGTATAAAAAAACCGATAACCGAATGGTTATCAAAATATTCCCAATGATCAATAATTCAGGTGTTGCCGCATCGGAAAATAATCAAAATAGTCCAAAAGCAGGTGAGGAGGAGCTTAAGCCAATAGCAAGCTTATCATTTCCATTTAAAACATTTGAATATCACACTGTCCGAGAAATTTTGATTCCATTTGACAAAAAATTATGTAATAATGCAAAATTTATGACTCCTTTAGAAGCTATGATGTATATTCGTGACCACTGTCATCGCAATGGTATTAATTTCAAGAGATCAATTGCGTTAAAATTCGCGAATCTCTGCCAAGTTTATGATCAAGTGCATGGATCATACATATGTATGGATAGTTTATCACACACAGTTCTAAATCAAGCTTTTACAAAAGTTTCACGATTAGCATCGACAAAAGTATTAAAATATCTTTAATTTTATTAGAAATTAGGCTGACCGAATATTATAAATTTAAATTGAAGGTCTTGTATTTATAAATCATATAATTGGTATAATATTCCTCAATAAATTTATGCGACATCAATTCAAACAAATAATCATTGTTGATTTCACTGTTGGGATGTAAAAAAATATTTTCTTGTAATATTTAACACTTTGCAAAGTGGTTATGCAGTTTTTTAAAAGATAAAAAAGCATGATATTCTACATGTTTTTAATACATCATAGTTAAAAGACAACTGTATTTATTAATGAAAATATTTATTGTATGATATGTATATTGTTATAGAACTATTATAATTTGTGATAATATTAAATTCATATATTTTTTTTATTTTCCATTACCGGATTACAGATTTGAACTATAATATCTAGGTGTCATAGTTGCTTCCTATTTGTGTTGAAACATTAACCATGAAAATTTATATAAAAAATAATTAAAATTAAACTACAGGAATCTTTTAAACAATACCAAACAAAAATGATGAACAATATATAAGTGAATAATAAATAAAATATACAATAAAGATATATTACTTATAATCCTCCGAAATATCTGACTTTGATCATAGGAGTTATCTTGCAAGTTCTGCTTGTTGGAATGAGTTTTGTCTTCTTGTTAAATGTATTTGATCTTTTGCCCATATTTAGTTTCGGTAAAATTGCTTTTTCACTTTTAGCTCTTAATTCACTGGAGTTATCTTCCACAATTGGCTTGAGCATCTCTAGGAGTTCACTTACAGTTGGTCTTTGCTCTGGATTCAACTCTAAACAGCTCTCTATGAACTTTCTTAATTTGCCTTGGATAAGAATCTGAAATTTGAGGGAATGGTTTCTTACGTTCTTAAGGAGATCTGTTTCGTTCTTGAACAAGATAGGATACTCATGAGTAAGGATGATGTGTGCTGTTATACCGAATGACCACATATCTGCTTTAATTGCATCGTATTTTTGTCCGAGCATGATTTCAGGAGCCATAAAACTTGGAGTTCCACAGTATGTAGCGTTTTTTCCGGTTATTTCACAAGAAAAGCCGAAATCAATAAGCTTAGGATTGAAATAGCTATCAAATACTATGTTTTCGGGCTTTATGTCCCTATGGGCAATTCCTCTTTCGTGTAAATAGTTAAGACCTTCTAAAATTGAATAACAAACCTCGATTCGTTTGTTCAAAGTAAAATACTCCTTCTCAAGTATGCGCTCTATGATGTTTCCATTTGGCAAGTATTCCATAATTATCATTATTAAATTTTCTTCATAAATAATGTCGTAAATTTTGGGCAGGCTCGGATGAGAAAGCCTGCTAATTAATCTGAGCTCGCGTTCAAGATATTCCATCAAATCGTTTTCCTTCATATCTTCACGGTTGATAATTTTTACAGCTACCTGTTCTCCCGTTTTGTAGTCCTGAGCTAAACAAATTACGGAGAACCCTCCTTTGTTGATCACTTTAACAAAATTATACCTACCCGAATGGTCTGGAATAACCACGTTGTCCATAAAATGACTCAGTTAATATATAGAAAATATTGAGCTAATGAAAAATTGAATGGAGTATTGAAAAAAATATTTGTTTTTCAATTAACTAAATTCAATAGAAATTTTTCTTATCATTTTGTTGTAACTCAATGAGAATATTCATTTTTCCGCTAAATCTAATTTTGTATAAGGTCGCTAAAATTAGATATTTTGATTCAGCATTAGTATGTGAAGATTTAGTCTTGTTTGGTTAGTTATTTGAATGGATATTCAAAATAGCTGTTAGGTGGAGAAAAGATCCGAAAGAATTATTAGATGGCAATAAAGAATTTATTCGAATTTATACTTTTGAATGAATAATGAATTCATAACAACCGATAAATAATGGGTCATTATTATTGTTTTTAGGTTTATGTCATATCCAAACTATTTTGCAAGAAAACAATTTGAAAAATATTGTGTTATAGACCGAAAATAGATTTTTTCGGTTTTCTCTTCAAATAATTGAAAGAATGATACTATTATAGGTTTATTATATTATATAGCATATAATCATGCTATAGCCGAAAATTATAAGTTTTGAGAAGATTGAATATAACACAAATAAATTTGAATGTAAGTTAAATTGCTTGTTGTTTTTAATAGCTATTTAATGAGAAATCCAATATTGCAAAATTCAAATTGAATGATTGAAAGAACAGAAAAAGTCATTCTTTTCAATTTCGAATATGTTTCATTGTATTTATAATTATATGGCAAATAAGATATTTAAACTTGATTTTTGAAGGAAAATTCACAAAATTGAATAAATTCAAATAATTTTTATTCAAAAATAAACTAGTTATTTGAGTTTAATACTAATTATCTATTCAAACTACAAAGTTTGTAATTTAAAATATTTTGTGAGATCAGATTGAATTAATTCAAGGTTCTTTTCAATTAATATTCATGACCATATTACGCATTTTCGAACATTCTAAACCAAATATATAAAAATGGGAGACGAATGTTAAATTTGCTAGACATGGGGGAGTTGTCTGCAAAGTTTTAGCTCTTATCTCTAACAAAAAATTAATTTTAAAAAAAATGACCGAAAACGTTTCACAGCGAGAAAAAAATAAAAGGCAAGATAGAATTTTCTAGACATAAAGAAGTTGTTTACCGAGTTTTAGCTCTTATCTCTAACAAAAAATTAATTTTTAAAAAAACGACCGAATACGTTTCACAGCGAGAAAAAAATAAAAGGCAAGATAGAATTTTCTAGACATAAAGAAGTTGTTTACCGAGTTTTAGCTCTTATCTCTAACAAAAAATTAATTTTTAAAAAAAAGACCGAATACGTTTCACAGCGAGAAAAAAATAAAAGGCAAGATAGAATTTTCTAGACATAAAGAAGTTGTTTACCGAGTTTTAGCTCTTATCTCTAACAAAAAATTAATTTTTAAAAAAATGACCGAATACGTTTCACAGCGAGAAAAAAATAAAAGGCAAGATAGAATTTTCTAGACATAAAGAAGTTGTTTACCGAGTTTTAGCTCTTATCTCTAACAAAAAATTAATTTTTAAAAAAATGACCGAATACGTTTCACAGCGAGAAAAAAATAAAAGGCAAGATAGAATTTTCTAGACATAAAGAAGTTGTTTACCGAGTTTTAGCTCTTATCTCTAAAAAAAATTAATTTTTAAAAAAATGACCGAATACGTTTCACAGCGAGAAAAAAATAAAAGGCAAGATAGAATTTTCTAGACATAAAGAAGTTGTTTACCGAGTTTTAGCTCTTATCTCTAACAAAAAAATTAATTTTTAAAAAAATGACCGAATACGTTTCACAGCGAGAAAAAAATAAAAGGCAAGATAGAATTTTCTAGACATAAAGAAGTTGTTTACCGAGTTTTAGCTCTTATCTCTAACAAAAAATTAATTTTTAAAAAAATGACCGAATACGTTTCACAGCGAGAAAAAAATAAAAGGCAAGATAGAATTTTCTAGACATAAAGAAGTTGTTTACCGAGTTTTAGCTCTTATCTCTAACAAAAAATTAATTTTTAAAAAAATGACCGAATACGTTTCACAGCGAGAAAAAAATAAAAGGCAAGATAGAATTTTCTAGACATAAAGAAGTTGTTTACCGAGTTTTAGCTCTTATCTCTAACAAAAAATTAATTTTTAAAAAAATGACCGAATACGTTTCACAGCGAGAAAAAAATAAAAGGCAAGATAGAATTTTCTAGACATAAAGAAGTTGTTTACCGAGTTTTAGCTCTTATCTCTAACAAAAAATTAATTTTTAAAAAAATGACCGAATACGTTTCACAGCGAGAAAAAAATAAAAGGCAAGATAGAATTTTCTAGACATAAAGAAGTTGTTTACCGAGTTTTAGCTCTTATCTCTAACAAAAAATTAATTTTTAAAAAAATGACCGAATACGTTTCACAGCGAGAAAAAAATAAAAGGCAAGATAGAATTTTCTAGACATAAAGAAGTTGTTTACCGAGTTTTAGCTCTTATCTCTAACAAAAAATTAATTTTTAAAAAAAAGACCGAATACGTTTCACAGCGAGAAAAAAATAAAAGGCAAGATAGAATTTTCTAGACATAAAGAAGTTGTTTACCGAGTTTTAGCTCTTATCTCTAACAAAAAATTAATTTTTAAAAAAATGACCGAATACGTTTCACAGCGAGAAAAAAATAAAAGGCAAGATAGAATTTTCTAGACATAAAGAAGTTGTTTACCGAGTTTTAGCTCTTATCTCTAACAAAAAATTAATTTTTAAAAAAATGACCGAATACGTTTCACAGCGAGAAAAAAATAAAAGGCAAGATAGAATTTTCTAGACATAAAGAAGTTGTTTACCGAGTTTTAGCTCTTATCTCTAACAAAAATTAATTTTTAAAAAAATGACCGAATACGTTTCACAGCGAGAAAAAATAAAAGGCAAGATAGAATTTTCTAGACATAAAGAAGTTGTTTACCGAGTTTTAGCTCTTATCTCTAACAAAAAATTAATTTTAAAAAAATGACCGAATACGTTTCACAGCGAGAAAAAAATAAAAGGCAAGATAGAATTTTCTAGACATAAAGAAGTTGTTTACCGAGTTTTAGCTCTTATCTCTAACAAAAAATTAATTTTTAAAAAAATGACCGAATACGTTTCACAGCGAGAAAAAAATAAAAGGCAAGATAGAATTTTCTAGACATAAAGAAGTTGTTTACCGAGTTTTAGCTCTTATCTCTAACAAAAAATTAATTTTTAAAAAAATGACCGAATACGTTTCACAGCGAGAAAAAAATAAAAGGCAAGATAGAATTTTCTAGACATAAAGAAGTTGTTTACCGAGTTTTAGCTCTTATCTCTAACAAAAAATTAATTTTTAAAAAAATGACCGAATACGTTTCACAGCGAGAAAAAAATAAAAGGCAAGATAGAATTTTCTAGACATAAAGAAGTTGTTTACCGAGTTTTAGCTCTTATCTCTAACAAAAAATTAATTTTTAAAAAAATGACCGAATACGTTTCACAGCGAGAAAAAAATAAAAGGCAAGATAGAATTTTCTAGACATAAAGAAGTTGTTTACCGAGTTTTAGCTCTTATCTCTAACAAAAAATTAATTTTTAAAAAATGACCGAATACGTTTCACAGCGAGAAAAAAATAAAAGGCAAGATAGAATTTTCTAGACATAAAGAAGTTGTTTACCGAGTTTTAGCTCTTATCTCTAACAAAAAATTAATTTTTAAAAAAATGACCGAATACGTTTCACAGCGAGAAAAAAATAAAACTGTACACTGATTTTAATTTTCATTTCCAGTCACTTTACTTATTATTTTTCCTTTTTTTTTCATTTTAATTATAAATTATTTCATAATACGTTTATTTACGTTACCATTTTCTTTATTCTTTTGAATTCCATACTAGACACTTATAGAATATTTTGATTGTTAACGTACTTCATTAGAATGAATCCTTACAAAGGGTATGTCGATCGAATTTACCTAATTGGTATTTCCAATCAGATTGAAGAAGGTAAAATGACATGAGAAGAAGCTTGCACCCATGTTCCCATCGCCCCAACCCTTCAATCAAATGATTTCAAATATTTAGATGTTTCAAAATCTTTTTTACAAAATCAATTTAGCTTACAGAATATCCCATTGCCTAAAGGCAAGAAAGGTCGTAGGGTCAATCCCTACGACCAAATCAAAGCTCTTGCTGTGATACATGACCACTGGGCCTTTCCCTGTGGTCAAACAAAACAATGGAAACGTTTGAAATTACAACAAATTGATGTATCATATAGAGAAGTACGCAGATACTTCAAAGAAAATCATTTCACCAAGACGCGATTAGAGCATGCCGGGGCAGAAACAGCAGTAAGATATTGGGCGCTTTCACCCAATCTTATCTGGCACGCAGATGTTCATTATTTTAGGGGTGTTCGTGGCCAGTATATTTATGGCATAATCGACGATTTTAGCCGCAAAGTCTTAGCGTGTATACAAATACCAGATATGCTGGCAGCGACGACAGCGAACGTTGCGGCTTCCGCCTTCATTGAATTTGGTGCCCCTTATTGTTTCTGGACCGACAACGGTTCAGAAAATAGGGGCGCCTTTCAAGATCTACTTGATCTTTGGGGCGTCCAATGGCGGCATACAGACTCTCATTCTCCCTACCAAAATGGGAAGATTGAGAGATTCTGGCCGACATTGGAGCGCTGCCAAAGCATTCAGGCCATTCCTGCCTTTATTTGGGAGTACAATAATAACACACCGCATGAAGATCTCCCAATTAATCCATTAACCGGAACAAATTACACGCCAAATCAAATGTATCAGCTGAAACCGAAATACACAAATGCAGATACAGAAAGGTTGTGGCAAATATGGGATACAGATACAGGCATGACCGCTGTTGACACATTCACAGCGTAATAATAAACATAATTTTTTAATTTCATTTTTAACAAGTTTTTTTAAATGTATGTAATGAATAATTCATTAGAATATGATAATGCACATTGTAACAGAATAGAACAATCACCAAATTTTTTTTTGAAATTAAAAAATAAAAGTAAAAAGTATAAAGTAATCTAACCAAAAAAGATATTTAAAAGAATTTTGGAAAAACAGAATAAGGATAATAATATTATTTTAGATACACAATCGATGTACTGAAGAATAATCCGGTAAAATGATGATATAAAATTAGATTATTTTACAAGTAGCTAAAAGAATAAAACTATAATATAAAATAAATGAAGTTTAATGAAACAATAAAGGTTAAATAAATAATAAAGATTTTTATTTTATATCAGTATTGAGAAGAAGTAACAGCTGACACTTGGTAGACAACTTCTTTATGTCTAGAAAATTCTATCTTGCCTTTTATTTTTTTCTCGCTGTGAAACGTATTCGGTCATTTTTTTAAAAAATTAATTTTTTGTTAGAGATAAGAGCTAAAACTCGGTAAACAACTTCTTTATGTCTAGAAAATTCTATCTTGCCTTTTTATTTTTTTCTCGCTGTGAAACGTATTCGGTCATTTTTTTAAAAATTAATTTTTTGTTAGAGATAAGAGCTAAAACTCGGTAAACAACTTCTTTATGTCTAGAAAATTCTATCTTGCCTTTTATTTTTTCTCGCTGTGAAACGTATTCGGTCATTTTTTTTAAAAATTAATTTTTTGTTAGAGATAAGAGCTAAAACTCGGTAAACAACTTCTTTATGTCTAGAAAATTCTATCTTGCCTTTTATTTTTTTCTCGCTGTGAAACGTATTCGGTCATTTTTTTAAAAAATTAATTTTTTGTTAGAGATAAGAGCTAAAACTTTGCAGACAACTCCCCCATGTCTAGCAAATTTAACATTCGTCTCCCATTTTTATATATTTGGTTTAGAATGTTCGAAAATGCGTAATATGGTCATGAATATTAATTGAAAAGAACCTTGAATTAATTCAATCTGATCTCACAAAATATTTTAAATTACAAACTTTGTAGTTTGAATAGATAATTAGTATTAAACTCAAATAACTAGTTTATTTTTGAATAAAAATTATTTGAATTTATTCAATTTTGTGAATTTTCCTTCAAAAATCAAGTTTAAATATCTTATTTGCCATATAATTATAAATACAATGAAACATATTCGAAATTGAAAAGAATGACTTTTTCTGTTCTTTCAATCATTCAATTTGAATTTTGCAATATTGGATTTCTCATTAAATAGCTATTAAAAACAACAAGCAATTTAACTTACATTCAAATTTATTTGTGTTATATTCAATCTTCTCAAAACTTATAATTTTCGGCTATAGCATGATTATATGCTATATAATATAATAAACCTATAATAGTATCATTCTTTCAATTATTTGAAGAGAAAACCGAAAAAATCTATTTTCGGTCTATAACAATTTGAAAAATATTGCTTGAAACTTGAAAAGGAAAATTTGTTTTTATGCAATATTGGCATATGTGAAAATGTTTAATTTACTATTGCGCAGTTTTGTGTTTACATGAATTTTTTTTCTTTAAAAAAAATGTAGATCATTCAAAAGTGATTTCATTTTCAGAGTGAATATCGATAACGACTGACGATTAATCTCGAATATAAAATGTGCCTCTCCGTAATGATATTTACTAGAATTAAAAATCTCTTTGGCCAACTTATTGTTGTGTTGAGAGAGTTCAGAAAAGAAAAATTGCCTGTAACTAAATAATGGAAACGACGGGTAAATTAGATGCAAGGTTATAAAAATCAGATGCGATTATCGTTTGTGAGTTTCGAATTGAAATGAAAATATCGTTCACATAAAATTCATGAATAATATTACATGGCGACGTACAGTATATCACAGGGATCCATATTTCAATGATTGATTAATTAAACATGGAAGAAAAATGGCAATTTTTTATCAAAAACAAAACTTTTTTGAACCAAATGTATTGCTTTCGTAGCTCAGTAGGTAGAGCGTAGGTCTCATAATCCTAAGGTCGCGAGTTCGAGCCTCACCGAAAGCAATTTAATTTTTTAATTTTTTTGAGTTGTTTTTTATCGTCTTTAAGTCACAACTGATATCACGAGAAATAGTTTCATGATAAAGGTCAATAAGGGTAATTCTTATACGTACTGATTTTCGAGTAAAAGTAAAACGGAGTCATAAAATTTTCTAAAAATTATCATAAATTTTGTTTGTTTCTCATTAAATCTACAATAACTCTTCGTTTAAATTGCATGGTGCAATTCGCATTTTTGATTTACTCAGTATATCATATAAGAATTCTTTAGATCAAAATATTGCTCTACATACAGGCAGCTTTGTAAACTCTCTGTTGCATTTTGTACATGGGTTTGGTTTTAAAATCTGATTCAATATTATTTATTGGAAATATTGGAAAATTATTGGACAATTCAAAAGCATTGATATTGAAAAGATGACGATTTTGTCTCTTCATATTCTGGTTTCATATGGAACTTGTTGTTTTTTTAATACTATGAAGGTCTAATGAACTGTATGGAAAAATAATTAAAAAAAGAGGTGGATAAAATTAGGAAGACTCATTTATAATTTTATTCAGCACCAAAAACAATTTTCTTCTCAAGAGCAGAAGCCTGAGGGAAGATGAGGTTATTTTCTATATGAATATGTTCAAACAAAGCTTCATTGAACTGCTTAATCTGGCTGTAAGCAAGTTTATAAGAGTTGCAGCCATCAGCAGGAGCTGTGTAGTTATTTGTGAGTTTAGCCATATGGAAGTATCTAGCACCTTCATTCTCGTGTTCTTCCATCATAACTCTGATTGGATTATCAACAGTCATGCAGTGCATTCTGCCCATTGTTAATCCCTTTGCATCAGCTTCGCAAAGTTGGTATACGAATGGGAATAAGACTTGTTCTTCCTTCTGTAAGTGGTTTTCTAGGTCATTGAGAGAGTTGAGGAAGTTCTTCTTAACTTCATGTAACTCTGGATGTTTTTCGCCATGAACTTTGACGACCTTGCTGATAAGCTTAAGTGTTTCTGGACCGTATTTGCGAATGTTGCGGTGGTGTGTCTTAAGAACGTAATCGATCAACAAATCAAGTGGCCACTTTGAGAATTCGATACCATTTGACTTCTGGCTCTTCTCGTTCTCCATAAGAGCGTCGTAAACTGTATCAAGTGGGACTTTTGCGGTCTTGCAAGCGTCTAATAATTTTACATAACCATGGCAGCAAAAGTCAATGCCGAATTTTGCAAAGACATTAGCTGTTGAGAAGCTGTTAGCAACAATTGAACCAACAGATTGTTGAGCGAGGGATGCTTTATCCATTAATGAAGTGATAAAACTCTATCGAAATTCAATAGGAGAATTGGGAAAAGAATTTGAATTGGTTCATACAAAATTTTCTATATGTTGGGATTATTTTGGGAAAGTATTTTGTTGGTACTGAACAACTAATCTCAGCACATAAATGATGAACTCAATATTACCCTCAATGAAAACTAGCATCCCTTCAATGTATTACATTATTTTTGTGAGATTCCATATTTTCCCAACTTCAACGCATGCTTAAAAAGGATAGGATCACGAAAACTATGTATAACACAAGCAAATAAGAAGAATGCATAGTCATTTCCTGATAAATTAACTTCAAAATTTCAAAGACATCAAATTATTCAGCGAACTATACATTAACTCTTTCAAAATCCATCCTACAGAACTTGGTTTAGCAATGTATATTAAGATTACTTAAACTTCTTATCAAAAGAAAAAAGATTCTCAACAGCATCAGATGAAACAGCAAAATATCAAAAAAATCACTCTAAGTTAATATTATCATTCACAGAAGAGATATAAACATATGTACTCTAGTGCATTATATAACAAAACAATATTATTCAATCAAATGTAAGTAAATTTACTTTTGATAGTCAATGGTATTGTTTTTAATAATGAACTAAAGTTCATATGTTATTATTTTGTTTCAATTCAGTAATATTAAAAATATATTTGTTCAATAATCATGATTAACGACAATAATGAGAAGGCTAGAAGTCGTGATTTTTTGGCGTATTACCCAGATTTTCCTTACTTTTACCACTCCCCATGTAATTTCTGGGGAAAACGATAATTCATTTTTTTTCTGGATGAATAGATCGTTTTCCTAGAAAGGACCTCATATCTCTGGCTAAAAAGAGTGTCAGATCCTAAATAGATTATTGATCTAGTGTACAAATCCAATAAAAAGCCTATTTTTTTGGCTTTTTTGGTGCTCATTTTTTCGAAGATCTACATGAATATGGGAAACCATCGGATTTTTTTGGTTAACCCACATCTTCATGTAGTCTGGACTATCTTTCCTCGAAGGACCTCTTTACGGGTGTAAAAACTCATAAAGTTCTCAAAAGATTCATTCTCGATCTCCATGCTGAAAGAATTTACAATAAAAAAGAGATCTACGCATCAAACTACAGCCATAAATGAACTGAACCCCTAAAGCTCAGCTCTTAGTTTATCAAAAACGTCGAAATCCTTCTCATTGCAATCAAATTTTCTCAATAACTCATAAGAAAAATCGAATTTTGATTAAGCCGATGTTATAGGTATCACAAATACTACAAACTTGAGCAATATCGAAATTGCCAGCAAAAGTTTGAAATTGCATTGCTCATATTTGTTTTGTAAACTAAAAATCTGCTTATATTATTCATTAATTTTTTATATATTATTCATATACTTTAATAAAAACAATACTATTTCACCTTAAAAATGAATTTCATAAGTCAATATTATTTTTTTGAAAATGTATCAATTTTCGATTAAAACAACATGAGAATAAAATTTACGCAAAATTATTTTAAAAAATGGTTTTAAAAATTTACAATTGATTAAGAATAAGATTGCAAGAAGTTTTGAAGTTTAATTTTAAGAAAAAAAATTCGGATATTATTCATGGATCTAAGTAATCTGATATTTGAGTATCGGCACTATGCATAAAACATATATTTATAGTTTTTTTGGATTTTTATGATTTTAAATATATTCAAATTTGGCAATCCAATAGATTTTTAAAAAATAGGTAAATAAAAATAGATTACATATGCAGCAGATTTAGAACATGAAACAAATCTTATAGTGACCCAAAAAAAAAATTCATGATCCAAAAAAGAAAAAAATTAGCTAAATGGGAATCAAACCTTGGCATAATGAATCATTATGTCGGATGTTTCCACTACACCGGCAGTTCGAAAAATACCCTTGGTGGTTCTATTTAATAGCTACTCCCAACGATAGGCGGTGTCCCCAGCTTTAGAGAGGTGGTAAAAGTAAGGAAAATCTGGGTATTATTAAGAAAATAACAAATAATCTTTTTGGCATAATGGGATGGTCTGTATGCCAGGATTAAATGGATTGAGTTCGAATCAGGACAGTATTTTTTTTGATTTTCGCATTTGATACTCATAATATTAAAATGGGATAAATTAAATGATATATTTATAAGGTATATTTCAAATATATAAATATCAAAGAAAATGACAAACTTTTTTCTTAATTTTTTTTGTTTTAAGGGTGCACCCGTATGTACGTTTATTTGAGAGGAGGAGGATTACCCTCTCAATTTTGAGGGATTCGTTAGTTTATTTTCTCGATGAATATGCAATAAAATTTGATTTTTACCTTATCAATATACTTCATATAATATACACATGTTCATGTAAAACTTTTTTCCAAAATCCTCAGGAATTAAGGGATTTTTGAATTTTAAGAATTTTTTTCGAATTTTTTCGAAAAAAAAATATTTTCAGAACAGCCTTAACGGCTAAGATTTAGGAACAATGTTAAGTATCAAAAAGAAAGGAGGTCTGATATAGACAACATATATCGTTGAAGGTTGAAAAAATCTCTAATATTTGAGCCCAAAATTTCAAATTTTAATTTTTTGAAAAAAGAGGCCACCCGTATGTACGTTTATTTGAGAGGAGGAGGATTATATTTTTGAAAGGGTGAAACATTATGAATATGTTAATTATATAATAATATGTATTATTATAAAAAAGAAAAAATAAAGCACGTTAAAATTTTTCTTTCTTGATTTTTTACAAAATCTACTTAGAATTATGCAAAATATGACTAAATAATTATAAATTTCAAGTTAAATTTTAATTTTGATAAATAATTTAAATTTCAAAATATCAAGTTCAGTTCGACTATGTATGTAGTAATTCCTCAATAAAGTGCCGAAACCCTATTAAAATATATGAACATTTTCAACATTTTAATGTTTTTATTTAAAAATTTGTTGGAAAATGAGCTTCAAACAATTATTATGTAAATAAAAATAATTAAATATATGTATTTATTCGTATTACAACCGTAGTAAGTCGATTCTTCCTTTCTTCTACTGAGTTTTGAATTTGATTTCGAATTGTAAAGAGATTCAAAGGGAAAATACTAGCGGATAAAAACTACCTCCATGAAAGGGTCATAATGGAGTCAAGTTGTATTTTTTGATATTTTTTGCTTTTCGAGCCTAAATAGGTAGCCAAGATAATGCCTAAAAATAAGGTTCTAAATTCTGAAGTTTACATGATCATCTCGTGTGCACCCTTAACAATAAATTACTCAATTTCGATCAAACAAATGGTTTTATTTGTCTTAATATTCAAATATATATATGAATGCCGATAATGTGGTCGAGATGAACGGTTAGAGGCGGTTTAAAAATGTATGGCCTGCTAGCCAGATGTTACAGCTTGAAGCCGGTTGGGTTCCGAATCTTCGCCTCCTGAGATCTCACGAAGATCGCCCAATTCAGAAAAACGCCTCCCCTTGGTGCGCTTGAGCTGCCTGCATAGTTAGCAGATCATTTTGTTTTTTGCTTTAGGTTGTTAGCGAGCTTTAAATTGTTAGATCATTGATGCAATGAGTATGAAAATATTCATGCATGAGACAAGAACTTTCTTAATTTGAAAGTAGTATGCAGGAATAGATCGAACAATTTAATAAATTAGTGGGATCCACCTATAAAGTTTTAATGTTGGAAGTGATTCCCATTGGATTAATCGCAAAATGGGGTACTGGTCCGGAATTGGGTTCAGATAGCGGAACTTTGACCGACAAGAGTGTAATATGCACTCTTGTCGGTCACAATGTGTCATTCCGGGAGACATTGCCACTGCATGTCCCCCAGAATGAGACAATTTGTTGCAATCAGAATGTGCTTGCAAAAGTTTGACCGACAAGAGTGTAATATGCACTCTTGTCGGTCACAATGTGTCATTCCGGGAGACATTGCCACTGCATGTCTCCCAGAATGAGACAATTTGTTGCAATCAGAATGTGCTTGCAAAAGTTTGACCGACAAGAGTGTAATATGCACTCTTGTTTTAATAAATTTTAATTACCATATAAGTATCTTTACATACAATCTTTACATTATAATTTTTCCTAATTAATATTTATTTCATATTTTTTTGTGCTTAATCTAACTTATAGCATGTACTGAACTATTTTACAGACTCTACTGAGCTATCTCAACATATAAACCAGTGAAAAAAAACACATATATACTCACTTCATATTCTGATCTCATGCCATATTATCGCAAAAACTATATTTATACACCACACCTCATATAAAACATCATTTTAGCCCTATCTAAGCGTTCAAAACCTATTTTTCCCGCGTAATCTGATTCTTCAGGATCCGCTGATTCGATTTCTGCCGTCAGATCGCGAAAATATGCATTACATAACAAGATATACACAAATTACTAAACTTAATATTTTCCTTAAAATTTCTCTTGAAGTTCATACACAACAACATAATTTTCAAAATCCAATTTTTTCAAAAAATGTATGCATTCAAAAGTTCAGATTATATCTAGTCATTATCCATTATTAATTTTGAATTTGATTTTTTGAGAAATTCATTTTATTATACGTATTACTCAGAAAATTAAATATATTTGTTAGGGAAAACGGAGAAGATAATAAATATTGTCATATGGAGGAATTGCAATTTTAAGGAAAATATTAAGTTTAGTAATTTGTGTATATCTTGTTATGTAATGCATATTTTCGCGATCTGACGGCAGAAATCGAATCAGCGGATCCTGAAGAATCAGATTACGCGGGAAAAATAGGTTTTGAACGCTTCGATAGGGCTAAAATGATGTTTTATGAGGTGTGGTGTATAAATATAGTTTTTGCGATAATATGGCATGAGATCAGAATATGAAGTGAGTATATATGTGTTTTTTTTTCACTGGTTTATATGTTGAGATAGCTCAGTAGAGTCTGTAAAATAGTTCAGTACATGCTATAAGTTAGATTAAGCACAAAAAAATATGAAATAAATATTAATTAGGAAAAATTATAATGTAAAGATTGTATGTAAAGATACTTATATGGTAATTAAAATTTATTAAAACAAGAGTGCATATTACACTCTTGTCGGTCAAACTTTTGCAAGCACATTCTGATTGCAACAAATTGTCTCATTCTGGGAGACATGCAGTGGCAATGTCCCGGAATGACACATTGTGACCGACAAGAGTGCATATTACACTCTTGTCGGTCAAACTTTTGCAAGCACATTCTGATTGCAACAAATTGTCTCATTCTGGGGGACATGCAGTGGCAATGTCTCCCGGAATGACACATTGTGACCGACAAGAGTGCATATTACACTCTTGTCGGTCAAAGTTCCGCGTTCAAGTTATGAATGCGGAACAGTGTGCCAATCTGGGGGACATGCAGTGGCAATGTCTCCCGGAATGACACATTGTGACCGACAAGAGTGCATATTACACTCTTGTCGGTCAAACTTTTGCAATCACATTCTCATTATACAATCTCTTTATTTTCTTGCCTATCCATACATATATTTAGTACATAAACAATATCCTTATTCAAAATCCCTTAAACACAAATTTACCATATGATTTGTATTTATCTTTAAAAATCTTAATATTTTCATTAATTATTGAATTCTACATCTATTTAGTTTATAAAAACACTCAATGTTATACAATCATATTAGTTTATATCATTTATCATCAGTTTTCATTTTACGCATGTAGTTTTTAAATCTCTATCAATTTTGAAATGAAGAATATATTCACAATTATATGCAGTGTCAATAGACATCTTGTTGCCTATGAAATTAACAATTTTTTCAAATTATATTGATATTCTTCAAATTGTGAATTTGTTATATTTAATTACAAATATTGTCTTCTCCCTTATTTTGCATTTGACTTACATTAATAACCAAGCTTAATTTTAACAATTGATACCCAATTCAAAATGTCTTTCCAAAATTAGCCGAATTTCAAAAATTGACATGATACCACATTCTACATCAATTGGAATTAAGAAGATTCCAAATTAAATAAAAAATATCAATCTTTTCAAAATTTATAATATTATCTTTTTTTAAACTGTTATTATATCATTATCATTCATAGCCTGACTTATCAAAATGAATTTCAATTCATATTGTTCAAATAAAGCATTACTTTGAAAGTTTGAATCATTACTCCGACATATTTTCCTATATAGTAAAATCACAACCGAGATTGATATATGCATAACATTTCTAACCATTTGCATGTAGATATGTGAAATTTTAACTCTAATTTTAAAATATTATAATTTTTTTTATATATCATGTCATTATGTATAAATCAATTCACTGGATCATATATACTAATATATCTGTAATTGAATAGACTAGGCCAATTACATTAGTTTGATATCTTGATAACTTTTTAGATTTAGATTTCAACCTCAGCAATATATACTACTATGTACCAGTAATATAATGTTATAATAATGGGTTTGGACCTTCATGTAGTGTGGTTTTACAAGCAAAATAAATTTCGTCTAATTGCACTATGAATGTCATTAGTAGACTACTAAAATCATATGGTAGATTCTCTAATGCCTACATAAGTATATGGTATATGTCACAAAGAATGTCTCCAATCAGGGAGCTGTATTAATGAGCTTTTATAAAAATTTACGGGCGTGTCAGATTCCAATAACAAAAACTTTAGGGTATAGTTTCTGCCCCTGATACTGATACAGATAAAATACAACCCCATAAGGTTGGTGGTGGCCTTGTTCCTCCAAGCACTCCATTACCCACATATGAAGAAACTGGTTCAAAACCATATTATCCAGGTCTTTAAATAAAATTTATGGTTTCATATTGTCACATATATTTTTTCACATGCCTAAAATTTAGGCATAATTATATTCAATTTAAAGGAGTCTAAAAATTGAAAATACATTATATATCGTGGGAATAAATCAAATTTAATATTTTTAATTATGGAATTAACTCGTCTCTTGAGTACTTTGTAACGATTCTTAATCTGTGTATCTGTTCTACCCGGCATTCTTTTAGATATTTGAACCCAGTGTGGACCTAGATTTTCTACTAAGTCCAATAACTTCTGATCTTCTTCTTCAGTAAAAGGCTTTTTGTTAACTTTTGGTGATAAGTTATATACCCATCGATCATGACATTGTCTGGAATTCTTAGTACCTAGAACTTGCGAGATTAAATCCCATTCATTTTCGCCATACTTCCTAACAAGGTTCCTGAGCATTTCATCTTCAGCTGCGGAGAATTTGTTCTTTGGAGCATTGACGCATCTGAATGGTTTAATCATCTGTGTACTTCTAATTGCAGACATCTTCTAATAATAATTTTTTTATGATTGTGAGAGTCATTCAATCTCATTCAATAATTGAAATTTTGAATTTTTGTGAATGATTGAGAAGCTCCCTTCTCAATTGATTATTTTAAACAATATTTCTTACATCTTATTTTTTGAAAATTAGAATAAGAACACGATTTGCTTGCATGTTTTAAAAACATAAATACTCATTGAATTGTAAAAAATTTAGATTGTTGCATGCTAAGTTCGGTCAACGATAGAAATTGAGTGGAAATTAATCGTCGAGGAAGTACGATTATGTAAAGTAAAAAAATGTTGTGTGATTTTTAATATTATATATTATTTTATAATAAAATTTTTTTGAGTCATTTTAAGAAGCACATATAATTTTTTGAATTTAAAAATTAAAGTAGTGTCAAACGAATTTATCACTTAATTTAATACTCAGATTTCTTAAAATTAATGAAAAAAAGGTTTTCTGAGAACTTTTGAGAATGGTTTTCAAATTCCATTATTGAAAATATATAGGTATTGTATGAAATTCAAACTCTATATTTATTAAAATTCTAAATTTTTAATAAAATAACTTTTCAGAGGAATATGATTTTGAATGGTTAATTAATAAGTATAAAAATGTCTACGATTTTAAGGAGGGAATTGTTCCTTATGAGGTATACATCATAACTATATACCTCATAAGGAACAATTCCCTCTTGATAGCTGGGAAACTTTCTCTGAATAACTTATCATTTGGAGAAAGTTTCCCAGCTATCTATTAGAAACTAAAGGCTGTGAGGCACTAATATATAATCAGTGCCTCATAGCCTTTAGTTTCTTATTAAAAACGAGAAAACTTGTTCGAAATGATAAACAATTTCGAACAAGTTTTCTCGTTTTAAGGAGGGAATTGTTCCTTATGAGGTATACATCATAACTATATACCTCATAAGGAACAATTCCCTCTTGATATCCTGGATATTTTTGAATATATTTTTTGAATTAAAGTTCTCAAAAGTATTATCAAAAGTGATTTTTTAAAAATATCTCCAATTAATTAACTAATTAAAAGTATTATATTTTTAAAATTAAATAGTTTTTCAATTTTTTTGAAGGAATTGAGATACTTCCCACGACAATAAAATTGAGAGGTTTACATTATGACTGATCTTAGCATGCAACAAGATATGTAGTGCATATGCTATTCTAAATAAGAATTTAAAAAATTTATAATGATTGAAAAAGAATTGTGAGAATTGATTGGAACTTAAAGTTTTAATATGTGTTTTAATATATAATTTGTGCCCAATTAAAGACAATCTTAAAACGTAAATACAGTTTTGAGAGCTATTTCGCCCTTATGACTGAAGTACGTAAAAATATTCTGAAAGCATGTTTTCGATATGAATTCAGTTCGGATTAGAATGCAAATATTCGTACGAGAATAACATTAAAAATCATGAAAAATCATAAATTAATCATAGAGACCAATCATTTTTTGATTATTGTATCGACCGCACTGTATGCATTATTTCCAACTCATTTAATGAAGAGTACGCTTTTCTGAAATGTCTCGAGAAAAATTTCATTATCGGGATTTTGATTGGTGTTAATGAAATGATAATTATGATATGGATGTGCTAATTCAGCAATTATTTCCGAATTTCTTTGAAGAATTATCGATAACAAAAAAAGTAATGTATAAACCGAAGATATATGGAATAATACAATGCAAACACCTATCTGATTAAATTATTAAAACTGAAATGCCTATATACCCAACTGTGAGAAATCAAAGAATAGGAGGCTGAATACATAAAATATTCGCTACCCCAAAGTTTCTGTTTCGGACAAAAGTATATAGTATTTTAGTATTCAAGATCCAAATCATCGTAATCAACGTTTTTGATTTGGAAAATTCTTATGATTTTGATAATTTTCATGTATATCGATCTTTTAAGGAATATTGATTATAATTAAGCTTGACCATTTTGCGATTTATTTCCAAAATTTTTTCAAAAAATAAAAAATGAATTTCAAATCTTAGTTTTTAATAATGATTTTTTCACTTTCTAATTTTCTTTGGAAAAAATAAGATAAGCTATTATATTTGATTTTTTATATAATTTCGATATTCATGAGAAATGTGATCAAAAATGGGATTATTAAATTCTATAATTTTAATAATATCATTTTTACCATATGTTGATGTAGGAAAGCAAAGTAAATAGAGTATTTGGACATATTATGCCATTCAATCGTATTTAGAAAGAAATTGTGTTTTTTATTCAGATATAATGAGAAAGAAAATTCTTTATAAGACTTCCTTACGGATCAACTTAATGGCATCGCCAACTGTAGTGTTGTCTTCGACATGCTTTAATGAAAATTCGAAGCATTTCAAGAGTTTTCCAGCTTCTTCAACTGTAGCATCTCCTGGCATGTAGTTAAGATATCCAGAGAAGTCGTAGTTTGTTGGTGTCTTCAAAGAATAAGTAACAAATTCGATAGACTTTGAAGATTCTTCGCCATTGATAACATGGCTGAATAAGTAATCTTTGATTCTGCCTCCAACTTTGATCGATCCAATGGATGAAACTTCAATACCAGCGCCATCTGGGAATTCTCCTTGAACTCCACCGGCTTCGACAACTTTTTGCATTGTATATAAGAACTTGAACTGTTCGCCAGACTTAATCTTGTCATTCATGCATTCTCTGATTCTTGGAAGGATATCTCTAATTGTTTCGCTTGGTTTTGCTTTTGTATAAGCGGAAACGGAAGCAACAAAGTTAGCGAATGAGTATTTCTTAACGATTTCGGAATCGATGGACTTGAGAGGTTCATATGGAGTCGAAGGAGTAAATCTTCTAATATCAACAGGACACGATGCGCCCATATTGTAGTACTCCTTATCACTATTCATTGAAGCAGCTGCTAAGGAAACAGCAGCAATTTGATGCTCCAATAACTTTGTAGCTGTTTGTGTTTTGCTATTGAAGCAAGCAAGTTCCTTCATTGGGAATCTGTACCAGTATGATTCAGTATATTTTGGCGCTATTTTGCCTACTCCTTTAGTAATATATCTTGCAATCTGTGGATCATTGCCGCAGACTTTGCATTCCTTGTTATTAAGGCTAACTTCCTTGGTGAAGTATGTTGATGGCTCAATTGGGCATCCTTCTATTGGGCGAATGTTTACAGCGTTTTCATCACTCAATTCAGAAGCTAGATTAGCCATAAATCTACCATCGCACATATTATGGCAAAGATTTAAGACAATGAGGTTATCATTGAATCCGATCGATCCTAAAGACATCTGACTATTTAATCCATGGTATTCTTTCATCCAGGTTGTAGCTTCCTTTAAATATGTAATGGATAATGGAATTGAAATCAGTTCTGGCGTTTTTTGTCCGCTGATTAACTCAAATTCCTTAGCTTTGACTCTTAATCCAAGACATCTTTGTTGAATCTGCTCAATCAATGGATGAATATACTTTCTATCAGATACTGATAAAGCCATCTGTAAAAAGCTGTTTTGGTACAAGTGTATGCATTCAAGTCCTCCTGCAAAACGGGTCATGGAAGAATGAATTGAATTTTTTTTCAATAGATTGATAATTCTTTGTTCGCTTGAGAATTTCACATATTAAACTACAAGAAGTCATTTTATAGTTGATCGTTCAAAAATGAAAAGTTTTCTAATGAAATTTTTGGTTCGTTCTGTAATAAACAGAAATTCATCAAAAGTGACAGCTCTCAATTTTTTGACATTTGTAAATTCTAAATTGAATGAGAAAAATGAAATAATACTAAGCATAATACAATATTCTAGATTTAATTATAATTAGGAAAAAGTTAGTTTTGAGAGTACTTTTCATAGGCATATAGAATGAAATCTTCTGAAAAATAATATCACATAAACTCATATTATTTTCTAATATATAACTATTTTATATAAAAATCAAATTCAATGATCTTAAAAGCGAAGGATAAACCTCAAAATTTACGAATATAATGAGTGGGAATATAATGCTTATCTATCATAAAACCATATGAAATATCAATTTTTGCTTTACGCCTAATTTTTGACGACAATTAGCAAAAAATGTTAAATGTTAACACTCAGTCCATTTGAATATGAAAAATAAAATTGACTTTGATTAAATGTTTTTATTTCATGCAATTCTTCTTGCGACCAAAGATTTGAATAAAAGTTCAAAAAATAAGATAGCTTAAAAAATAATATACGGTAGTGTTTACTAATAGATGAATAGTATATAAATTCTATTAAAATGAATTTGATCCAAAAAAATATATAAAATTTGATCATAAATAAAATCGTTTTAAATTACTTCTTCATTTAAATTATAACAATTATTTTTGGTTTTATATTTTTTTGGATCAAATCCATTTTAATAGAATTTATATACTATTCATCTATTAGTAAACACTACCGTATATTATTTTTAAGCTATCTTATTTTTTGAACTTTTATTCAAATCTTTGGTCGCAAGAAGATTGCATGATAAATAAAAACATTTAATCAAAGTCAATTTTATTTTTCATATTCAAATGGACTGAGTGTTAACATTTAACATTTTTTGCTAATTGTCGTCAAAAATTAGGCGTAAAGCAAAAATTGATATTTCATATGGTTTTATGATAGATAAGCATTATATTCCCACTCATTATATTCGTAAATTTTGAGGTTTATCCTTCGCTTTTAAGATCATTGAATTTGATTTTTATATAAAATAGTTATATATTAGAAAATAATATGAGTTTATGTGATATTATTTTTCAGAAGATTTTGTGTTCTTCTTCAAAATTTTATTTTTTTATTAAAAAGAATCTTTACAAAATATACATTTACTTTAATTAATATTTAAAAACGTGCTCTATCAAAAGTTCCAAAAATTCAATATTTTAGCTTTTCTGAGGTGTCACTTTTGATGAATTTCTGTTTACAACACAGGGTATTTAAAAATTCAGTCACAATTACTGAATATTGCAATTTCTTAGTTCATTGGATTTTAAATAATAAACATTGCATGCATTATCGCATAATCATATCTAATAAGTACGAACTGTTTAAATTGCGTTAACTCAAAATCAAAATTATTTTTAATTTCATTCCGGATTAAATGTTTCACATTACAAGTACCCACCAACGAGCAAACAAATCGATGTTATAATTTTTGAATTTGATCAAATTAGTTATTCAATTTTTCGCAATTCGAGTTTATTAGTTTGATTTCATTATACCCTCAATGTTTAAGGTTCCCCTTTTAAGGATTTATAACTAAATCAAATTTGTGAGAATTATCTCCAAAAAAATGGATTTCTTATTCAGTCATGCTCAAAATAGTAATGGTATGTATAACCATGACCATTACTCAACTGAATTTGAAAAAGCCCATAAATTATCAACTCAGAATTTCACTTCTCCAATTTCAGATTATTTGTACCCAAAATGATGTCAAGATATAGCCATTGATAAATGGGGGATGAATATTTTACACCATTTATTTGATTACATTTACATTTTATACATAAAAATTTTACAAATCATTTACTCGTGGGAAAAATTTTAAAAAGACAGACAAATGTATTTAGAATTTTGACACAGACTCCATATCTAATAGAATTGATTATATTTTAAGTCGTCCACTCAATTTTGTGAATGTAATATTTCTTTTAAAAGTTTTATGTATAATATCATTCTTATATCTAAAAATGACAACATTACACGGTGATAAATTTTGACAATTCATATTCAAAGTTTGAAAGAAATATTTGAATTCTATCAATTTTTATCAAATTCTCAGAATGATGTTTAACCTTCTTGTAAGGACTGCAACATCTTATTTAAAGGAGTCAACTCCAAAGAATTCAGATGCATGCTTTAATATAGCCTATATTGATTCAAATAATGAAGCTTTTAGTATAACCTCTCAATTTCAAGGCTTCTTTGTTGCTTACAAGGTTAACAACGGGAATACTCAGTTCATAAAAAAGGATCAGGAAAAGATATCCTCTTATAAAAATACAAGAATAGAGGCAAAACTCAATAATCACGTTAATAATGATTTCATTTTCATTTCATTTACAGTTTCCAACAATAATCAAGAACCTATTGACTTTTCTTTGGGTATTTATGCAGATCTCCAGTTACTTATTCCTCAAAGTACCATAATTCCACTAGATTTCCGTCAAGGTTTTACAATTAAGTCAAATAGTGAATCTTGCTCTGTTCTTACACACGGATTAAACAGTTCTACAAATGCCGATGCATTTTGGTATGGAACACCTGATATTAACAACAGGAGAACACTAACAACAAATCCATATTGGGAAAACCTTTCAAATCCTCAAGAAATACATGGAGACATTGAGATGGCATTATCATGGCAGAATAGAATTATAAAGGCCGGTGAAACCGTCGAATTTGGATTTACAATCGGAAAAGGAACTTCCATTAAGACTCCACCAAAGCTTATCCTTAACACAGAACTTCAAGAAAGATATGATCCTGAAACAAAATTAAGCATCAACTTTACTGTCTATGATAATGATGTCAATGATGATGTTACAGTGTTCGTTTACAATAGCATTAATCAAAAAACTCTCAATAGTTCCTTCAAAACAAATGAAACTTTTAAACATAAATATGCAATAATCACAAAAACTCTCAAACATGGAATATACAATTTTCAGATTTGGGCAGTTGACTCATCCGATTATACCTCAAATCTTATTGAAAGAACAATCTATGCGACAAAACTCCCTACAATTAGAATTGACAACGAGCTTGGATCATATAAAAGAGGCGAAAATATTACTATACAAGGCAAGGTATGGGATGAATCATTTGTTCATTTCCATTATAAACTTGACAATGATGAAAGTTATTATACAATTACTGAACAAAAGGTAACAAATAATATTGAGACAGATTTTATTATAACTATACCTATACCAGAAACATTAGAAGGCAGTAATCATACCATTACAATTTATGCTACAGATGAATATGGATTCAAGTCAGAGAGCATAGTTGATAAACACTTTACTCTTATTGAAGAATCAGAGCCAGATGTTCCAATTGAGGAAGAAAATAAAATTCCATCTTCACCTTCATCAAATGTTGATGATTCAAATGAATCACCAAATGAGGCGAGTAAAGAACTAACACCAGCACAAAAACCAGATGAAAAAGATAAGGAATCAAAACTGATTCAAAGTTCGGAATCAAATCATTCAGCTCTAAAAGATAATTCGGAATTAACATCAAATAGTGACACTAATAAAAATCTTGGCATTGGAACTAATGAAGTAAGACCATCTAAATCCAATAAATCATGGATAATTCCAGTAGTTGTTGTATGCATTATAATAGTAATTATAGTTCTAGTAATTGGCCTGATTTACTTTGTTCATAAAAAGAAAAATGAAGGTTCACAAACTGATTCATCGTTTGATGATATGCAAGAGACAATTGCAATCGTTACAAGCAATTCAACGCCAGTAACTCTGGATAATCCTTTATTCTCAACAAATTTGTCAAATGAAGAAGATGATATCTTCAAAGATGATTTCGAAGAACAAAAAACAGAGCATCTTTTATATATTCTTCACAACAATGTCGATAACACTTAAATTTCTATCTTTTGTATTTCATTTTTTTTTTCGGAAATTAAAAAATTAAATTTCAAATTTTGGATAATTTAAATTGGATAGGCATTTTATAATTAGTAACACAAACATAACATATATTTTGATATAATGACTATAAAAATATATGTTTCTGAGAGTAAAACCATTCTTTACAAATAAAACCTGTAATTTACATTCAATCACATTGAAACGAGTCCAATCATCTCAATATCATTTCATAATTATATATAGTGCTTATAAAATTGTTAAGATTTAACAAGGTTTACATCAAAAATTGTTCGATATATTTTTGACAAAGACCTGTAATAATTTTATGAACTTATTTCATTAAGCTAAGTTTCCTCTAAAAATCGTTTGCTACGATATGAATTTGCAAATTCATTTCATTTTGAGGGAAATTATAGTTGCCTTAATTATATGATTCATTATCAATTATAGAAGAATATGAATAAAAGCAACTTCAAATGGATAAAAATAACCCATTAGCATTATTCAAATTTTGATTAAACATTCAATTTATAAATTCAGAAACATTTATAAATTTTGTTTGTTTCATATAATTCCAAATAGTATCTTGTGACAATATTAGATAACTTTTTTTGACAAATTGCAATCAAATTTGTGATTATTGACGTTTTTCTCTCAAAAGTAGGACTCCTATCAAAAGTTTCATTATGATGCTTGGTTTCTTCTTATATCAAGCTATCTCCGAACTGGTGGTTATCAAAAAGACAGGAGACAACGATAATTCAAACTTTGATCTCAAGGTTAAAGATGAAGCAGGAACAGTGTTCGAATCTACAGAGAAAAACAAAGGCTGGTTTCTTGTTTACAAGGTGAATGATGGAGAATTACAGCTCTTAAGAGGTAAGGACAATGGCAAAGCAAACCATGAAGGAATTTCCATCGAAACAGAATATGATACCGTTTATACATCCAATTATTTGACATTGAAGTTTAAAGTAAAGAATGACGGAGATACTGATAAAACGTTTTCATTAGGTGCATTTGCAGATCTTAAACTTAATTATGTTGATGCATTTACTGTTAAACCTTTTCAATTCAGACAAGGACATAGGATTGTTCAGTCAAAGAATAATTTAGTATTCAACTTTATTACAAATAATAACAAGCCTTCATCAGAAGTGGATGCATTTTGGTATGGTCCAAATTCTTATTCCTATACAAATTGGAAGACTTATCCATATTGGAATAACTTAGAAAACCCAGAAGAAAAACAAGCTAATGTTGTTTCATTTTCATGGCAGAACAGATTGATTAAACCAGGTGAGACTTTAGAGTTACAAGTTAGATTGGGTTATGGTATAGATTTAAAGAGCCCACCTAAGATCTTTTTGAATGAACCTTTAGCTGATAGATATAATCCAAACTCCAATCATGAAGTGACATGGACAGTTTATGCAGAAGATGGCTTTAATAGTATGAACTTCCATTATCTTGATTACTATAAAGGAAAAATTAGATCTCAGAAAGGAATTAACATGGAAAAATCAATCAAATCTGGTAAATTTACTTTAGAGTTCAAAGAAGCAGGACCGTATCAATTCAAATTTGTTGTTGAGAATGCTTTTGGATATAAATCAAATTCAATCCAGAAGGACATTATTCTTAATAAGCTTCCGACAATCAAAAATTCTAATCAATTAAAAGAAAAATACAATCCAAGTGATGAAATCGAACTAGTTTTAGAACTTTTTGATGAAAAGAGTGTTACTATTCATTACAAGATTGATGAAAACGGACAAGATCATGAAATTCCAGAGAAGAAGGAGTGTAACAATCAAGCTGCATCTTTCACAATAAAAATACCATTTACATCTCTTGAAGAAGGAACACACAAGCTAATAATGCATATTATTGACGACGATGGATTTAGATCTGAGAATGATCTAGAATTAGATTTTCTAGTTGAAGCTCCCAAAGAACAACCAAAAGAAGATGAGAAAGAACAACCTAAGGAAGATGAGAAAGAACAACCTAAGGAAGATGAAAAAGAACAACCTAAAGAAGATGGAAAAGAACAACCTAAAGAAGATGAAAAAAAAGAAAATGATAAAGATATATCTGAAGAATCAGACGACAACAAAGAAAATGATAAAATAGCGAAACGTCCATCACGAAGCAAGAACTCTTGGTTGATTCCTGTAATTGTTATATCCATTCTTGTAGTTGTTGCAATTATTGTTGTGATAATATTTTTCAAGATGAAAGGAAGGAATGAAAGTAATGAAAATAATGATTCATTTGATAATGCTGAAGAAACAGTTGTAATGTCAAACGAGCCTCCAGAGATAGCAACAGAAGATCACAAGTTGTTTAGTACAAGTGCGGTACATGATAGTGATAATATTTTTGGAGGTGGAAATGATGACGAAGATCCTGCACTAGACGTTTAATAAATTTCTTTCTATATGCGATTTTTTTTGAATTTTGATATAAAATAAAATGCAATAAACAAACTTACCATTATAAACAATAATTGGAAATAATTATGCTAGTTTGTGAAAAAATTAAATTAGACAATTCGTGATTAATATAATTAAGGATTAATTTTAATCATTCATGATGGAAATTCCATAATATAGATGTTTTTAGAGTTTTTGTCAACTTTTGAAAGTGATTAAAATGTTCAATGAAAATTTTATTTAAAAGTAATATGAAAATACAAGGGAAAAAATTTAAAATATTTTTTTGTTCTTGAGATTTTTTTTAAAATTCGATACCACTCAGAAAATTGAAATATAAAATTGAGAGTGCAATTGAAATATCAATTAGTTATTTTTTTATATTCGAAAAAAATTGAAGATTCGAATAGCCTGTGTAGCTCAACCGGATAGAGCATAAGACTCTTAATCTTGGGGTTGCGGATTCGAGTCCCGCCACTGGCTTTTTCTCTTTTCCAAACTTTTCCGGTTTGATTCAATTTTTCAATATTTTTTTGTATTCAAATACTTAACATTTATTTATTTCATTATATAAAAATTGTTGTGCATGAAAAATAGCGTGACTTCACTTCTGACAAAAAGTGACACTATTTTGAGGATTTTTGACATTTATTTGTCAGATTTGGAAAATGGAGAATAATGATGTAAGGTATACACTAATTAAAATTATTAGATATTAAAATTTGAATTGAAAACAAAATTATATTTTTTTAATAAAAAATCATTAATATATGATGTTTTAAATTTATTATTATTTAATATCTGAAATTATTGAATGATAACAGTTTATATGTTCTCAATTTAAAAAAATTGTGAAGAATTTATATTTTTGGAGATGGGTGTTTAACATTTGTGAGTGAGAATGCAAGTAGAAGTTTGGTGTTTTAAGGCTAAGTTGATATAGATTTGCTGTTGTGTTATAATATAAGATATAAAAATATACTATTAAAATTTTCGACGCCATATAGAGAACTATAGTCTGCGAGGTACTGATTCTATCTATGTACCTCGCAGACCGTAGTTCTCAGCCAAAATGGCTAAAAAGTGGGTGCAATGTAAAAAATTGCACCCAATTTTTAGCCATTTTGGCTAGGAATTGGAGGGTGTGAGTACTATCGTATGTAATGGTATCTCACACCCTCTAATTCTTCGTATATACACATTATAAAATCATTCAAAACGATACACATATTTTCTAAAAAACAATCCGAAAATTTTATTATGATAATTTATTAAACTTTAATCTAATTTTTAAACCAATTGAATATATCGAATAACACAATTAATTGAATACATATTTTGAATTTGAAAAGAAAAATTAATAAAAATAAAAAACTGAACTTTATTAAAATAAAGAAAATTTAGGAAAAGAAGTTTGAAAACAATAAAAAATTAATGTAATTCTTGATAAACGATTTTTATTTCGACAATTATTAGAAAGGATTATGATAGGGCTTGTAAAATATGTTCGATCTGTGTATGTCAAATCGTGCCAAGTTAAGTAAAAATGATGATATTTTTGTCATGATGCTAAACTATTAAACTAAACTTTGTGTGATTTGTAAGGATTATGATAGAGTTTTTAAAATATGTTCGATCTGTGTATGTCAAATCGTGACTCTTTTACTATTTTCCTTAATATTTATATACTTATATTTCATTTCTCGGCCATCTTAGGCATTTATTGAAAAACTTGTAGAGTAATAAAATTAACGTTTATTCGAGACTTTTAAATTTGATTGGTTTTTCATTTTCTGCGTTTTTTTTAAATTGAAATTATCTTTTAGTTTCTTCTTTGAACTTCGAAGCCTGGGTCAGCGCAGAGATCTTTTGTCCATTTGGGCCCCTTTCCCAGGCCTGAAATGGAGTCAATTTCTCCCCAAAGAGTTTGAATAATGAGGAGTGTTTCCACACCATATTGTACTGAGAAACAACATTGGGGATGAACTCAATGGCGTTCACTCCAGGGTTTGTCTTGAAAAGAGTCTTCCAACTCCTTTCAATTTTTCCATTTTCCTCTGGAGTGTACGGATGAGTTTTGAAATGTTTTATATTGAATTCTTGACAAACCGCTTCAAAATCCTTTCCGAAGAATTCTGTTCCATTATCTGTGAGAATTCCATGTGGAACTAATTTGACTAAATCAATTGCGTGACGAAATACTCTGGCAGTATTTTTCATTTCTTTTGTATCGAAAACATCCCAGCAAATAATATATCTGCTTCTGTCATCAAGAAATGAAATTAAATATTGAAGGTTACCGTTATCTTCCTTCAGAAATTTCAAATCAATATGCCACAATTGATTAACATATTGCGCAACGTATTCATGTGGATGTTCATCGACTTTTTGATGCCTGTGAAATGTAAACAAATGTTGTTGATTGAAAATTTTGAAAGCATCGTTGAAAGTAAATCTTTCAACTTTTTCGAAATATGATTCTTTGATTCTTTTGTATCCAATGTCATATTGTGCTTTAATTTCCAAATTTTGTATACATCTTCCTCAAAAATTTTTTTCTTTGGTCTTCCTCTTTCTTTGATTGGATAGCCGAGTAGTACGAAAATTTTTTTCAAACGTCTTTTCCGATTGAAAGTGTTTTTGCCGTATCTTCTGTTGTAAACAGAAATTCATCAAAAGTGACACCTCAGAAAAGCTAAAATATTGAATTTTTGGAACTTTTGATAGAGCACGTTTTTAAATATTAATTAAAGTAAATGTATATTTTGTAAAGATTCTTTTTAATAAAAAAATAAAATTTTGAAGAAGAACACAAAATCTTCTGAAAAATAATATCACATAAACTCATATTATTTTCTAATATATAACTATTTTATATAAAAATCAAATTCAATGATCTTAAAAGCGAAGGATAAACCTCAAAATTTACGAATATAATGAGTGGGAATATAATGCTTATCTATCATAAAACCATATGAAATATCAATTTTTGCTTTACGCCTAATTTTTAACGACAATTAGCAAAAGGTTGAAAGTTACAAGCTCTCAATTTTCGTCCCTTTTGTACGTTTATTATAATTGTAGCATATTGTCATCAAGCACGCGACTAACCAGCAAAGACGTGTCCTCTAATTCCGTCCCTAGTTCAAGAATCTGGAACTATTTAAGCAAAAACATTCGATTTCAAAATCAAGCATTCTTTATTCAACGAGTAAAACATTAAAGTATGATTTGTCATACACGGAATAATGACAAGCTCTTAGAGTATGTTTAGTACAGAGTTACTGCCAACTTGAGTTCTTGAATTTGGTAAGTTAGAACAAAAGAAGCCATATGTCGCATCTAAGGACTTGTACTTATCAGAGTATTACTAAATGTTTAAGAATGTTAGTTATTCGTCCCAAACTCGTACGTTTCCACGCGAATCTTGATAATAAATATACTATTTTGGACTTTTTGCAATAAATCTCTTTTTACCACATTAGCATATCTGTGTGTATGCTACTTAACCTCTTTAGAGACCATTAAGATAATGTTTTTTGATACTTTTTCAAGACTATGCCATAAAGTAAACGAATAATTTACAAAATGATATTAAAAAATTTAATTTTATTATGCTTTTATAAATATTGAGACTTTTTAGGACTATTTTAAAAATGTAAATAGATCAATCATTTTAATATTAGATAAGATAATCTAAAGACGTCAGATGTTTCAATAACTTCAGATCAATGACTAATATGAAATTTAAGATTTGTGTTAATTTAAGAATTAACAATGGAATCTGGTTTAGAAAGATGGAAAGAATAGAGAATCTAAAGGATAAGAGAGATTAAATACAAAATGCTGCATAAAAAGGCAGATCAGTGAGAAGAAATCATGAGGTTAAAAAGGAACATTCAAATTAGAATATAACATTGCATATTACAATATTAATATTAAAGATAATACTGCACATCATTGTGCAGTGATCCATAAATCAATATTAATATCTCATATGATAAAATCTAATATCATATTACAATATTAATATTAAAGATAATACTGCACATCACTGTGCAATTACACTATTTTAAATATTTTCATAAATAATGACTTACAAGTTAAAAAAATGTAGAATTAACTGCATGACCCAATATTGGACCGAATGTATGTTTGAATCTATAACTGAATTCATTAATGACAAAAAAGTGACTCTATAACTGAGTATCTGGCTGACAATATGCCTGAAAGTTTGAATGTGTCTAGGAATATAACTGACAGTTTGAGTGACATTTTGAATGAGGGTTTGGTTGTCAGTATAACTCAAGGTTTGAGAGAGAATATGACTCACAGTTTGACTGACAATATGACTTAGAGTTTGAGTGACAGAATGAACAACAATTTGGGTGATAGTATGAACTACAGTATGACTGAGAATATGACTGACTGTTTGACACACACTATGAATTAGCTTTTTAGTTAGAATAAGACTGACAGTTTGAGTGACAATATAACTGACGGTTTGACTGACAATATGACTGTTGATTTGAGTGAGTGTAAGATTGAGAGTTTGGGTGACAATATGACTCATAGTTTAAGAGAGTGTATGACTGATGGTTTTAGTGAGAATAAGACTGACAGTTTGGGTGACAATATGACTGTTGATTTGAGTGAGTGAATGACTGACAGTTTGACTGACAATATGACTTCGGTTTGACAGACACTATGAATTAGCTTTTTAGTTAGAATAAGACTGACAATTTGAGTGACAATATGACTGACAGTTTGACACACACTATGACTTACGGTTTTAGTTAGAATAAGACTGACAGTTTGACTGACAATATAACTGACGGTTTGACTGACAATATGACTGTTGATTTGAGTGAGTGTAAGATTGAGAGTTTGGGTGACAATATGACTCATAGTTTAAGAGAGTGTATGACTGATGGTTTTAGTGAGAATAAGACTGACAGTTTGGGTGACAATATGACTGTTGATTTGAGTGA